ATATTAGTTAACATTTTTGTATGATGATTTAAGAGCTAAAATAGATTGGTATGATTGTTCAATGTTATCTTGTATGAAAATAAGAGGGTTAAATATATCCGGAAAATGTAAATAGAGTGATAAATAATGCTTTATAAATGAAGTGAAAACATCTTTAGAAAGAAGTGAAGTTTGTAAAGGTAAATTTGATGAATACTTTGAAAAATCTTTTAAATAATGTGTTATGGATATAGCTCCAATAAATAGCATATAGCAAACAAAAAAAACTATATTTTTCTGATCTAAAAATAAATTATATATATATAGAGGTTTTTTGTATTGTGAAATTAAATTTGATATATAACATCAAGTCATTGATAAGAAATAAAAACCAAATAAATAAGTGATAATTTTAATGTTCAATCATAAACATGCTTAAATCCTACATCTGTTTCGCATGATACAATTCTTTTTTCTAATGTAGTTGTAACATCTTGTAATTTATCTTTATCGCTTTTCAAAACATTCATTTGAGCATCCAAAAATTCAATATCATGTTATACATCTTGAGATTTTTTGATTGTTTCATTTAAGAGTCTTTTGGCCTAGCTTGTTTGATAAAATTGATACATCATTTTGTATAAATGTAGTCAGATCATCACTCATAGTACCATGATTGTTTTTAACAGTTGAAATTTCCATTCTTAGATTAGACATTTCTTTCTTACTATTTTCTAAGTCTTTTTTAAGTTCAATCAAGTAATTCTAAATGAATTTAAAAAATAGCTTACTTCTAATTTAATAATGTGATCTTTAACATTAAGTTAAAGACTCTCTTCAATTGATTTTTATCTCTTAAGCATTAATCTTTGTCTTTCTTTTTCAGGATCAATCTCTTTATCAGATTCTAAACTTTCGTTAAGCATATTAAAATATTAATATATTTATCATTATGTGGCACTCGCCTTCTCAATATTTTAATATTATTTTTCATAATCTCTAGGTGATAGTTTTTATGCTTATTAAATCTTCTCTTAAACCCTCTGTTATCTAGCTAAAGAATTCTGTAAATCCATCATGGCTAATTATTCAAGTTACTCTAATTCTTATATTTTTAAATCATATAACTCCTTTTCTTTAGTAATTCTATCTTTTTCGTTTTCAATTTCATATCTTACTCTTTCTCTTTTTTATTTTAATTTGGCAACAGCTAATTGTGTAGATTATCTTTCATCTTCTTTCACTTATATAGCTTTAATACGGTAGCCTTCTTATTCTAAACTCTTTTGTAATTGAACACTCTTAAAATCTTACTTTAATTATTCTCTAAAAATTTTGGCTTCAGATTTCTTTTTTTATAATTCATCCTCTTTTATTTTTTTCAATAATTCTCTTTAGTGATGCGAAACAGCTAAGGAGAATGGAGGTTGTTATGCTTGTTTCTATTTCATTTTATTTTCTTTCTAAATATATTGATAAAGATGAACATTACTTTTATTTAGATTTCAACTCTATGACGATAAATTTCTTCAGCTCTTTATTCATCTTATTAAATATGCTTTAAAACTTTTTCATGTTCCATTTTTAATTAAAGAATTCTATTCTAAATCTTCTATGCATCTGTTTCTGCCTGTTTCTTTTAAACCAAAGTAGAAAATAAGGTTTTCTTCTCTTATGGTAGCTCTCCTGAAGACATATTATATAAAATAAATTATTATTTTAATACAAATGGAAAATTAACAAAATTCTAACTTTCAATAATAATTTAAAAGAAATTAAAGTAATGAGAATGAATTATAATAACTATGCAATTATTTAATATTATATCATTTTTTCTATTATTGTCCCCACATTCCATAAGTTTATTATTATTATTATTATGGATTAAAACCATATGTATACTATTATTATTATTATTATTAAGGGTATTATTAAGGATATTATTATTGTGGATAGGGCATTTATTATGGTTGAACTTAAGGAAGATTCCCTTAAGATTATTATGGATATTAAGGATATTGTGGATACTAAAGATTAGTAGGATAAGCAGGATATTGGTATCCTGATTATTATAATGGTTATTAAGGTTATTATGGTTATTATGGCTTTTAGGCTTATTGTTAAGAATAGCTTTATTACTAATTTAATTGTTATATTAATTATTCTGATTCAATATTTCTAGCTATTACATAATCTTTAACTTTTCTGTCTTAATCTTCTAAATGCATTTTCAATTGTCTAAATTATAGAATTGATTATATACTCATAGAAAACAACTGAATGATCAATATTATCAATAGCTTATTATGCACTTGCAAATTAATTAGTTGATCCAGATTATTAGACTTATTCAGCAGATTATTTTTTTAGATTTGATAGTTCTCTAGCAATTCCACAAACATTGCCAATCATTTCTGAGACTTGATTCATCTAATAAGAGATATTTAAATATTTACATTATTGTTAAATTATTCAATGTGTCCTTGAACATTTTAAAGAGAATCATTGAATATTTATTCTTTTGGTGTTCCATTATTTACTCCATTAACAGCTAACTTTGTGAAGTTAGTTTATTACATAGTTAAATTATATTCTTAGATAATCGATTTTAATTAATCAATAATACCATTGGCTTATTAATCTAAAGAGGTAAGCTATCCAAATGTTTAAGCATTTTAATTAACAAAATCTTAATTAATATTATTCTTTGGTAGCTATTAAATAATAATTTAATCAGTTTAAGCAGCAAGTAGAATTGTATCTCTGTTTTTCTCAAAACCATTCATTACCTCAAAATCAATCTTCTAAGCTTACAAATATTTAGTCTTGAGATCTTTTAAAGAATTAAAGTATTATTAATTTAATTAAATTGACTAACTTCTTGTCCATTTAGCACCAAATTTATTTCTATTATCTTAATCTTATTATTATTCATTTATTAATGATTATTCTATTTATCCTATCAATTAGTTACAAATAACCGAATTCTACTTTGCTTAAGTGATTATCTTTTCCACTCCATTCAAACATCCTCTTTATCTTATATAATTTATTTTCTCTTATATACTTTAAGGAAGTCCTCCTTAAACTATTTATTTCTATTATGCCATATCTATAAAGTAAGTAACATAATTCTCTGCATATGCTTAATTTTTTTGATCAAATAATAATCTTAAAGAATCTTCAAGTGAATATCTTGTTTATTCTACAAACATTTTGATTTCTCTTGATAATTATAAAGCTTCCTCTGATACAAATCCTGAAAATTTATCTGCTCCTTAAACTTATTTCTTAAAACTATCTGGTTCAAGTGGCTTCAATCTTATTTATTCCATTAAAGAAGGATATGGTAATAAATCTTAAGCAATCTATTATTCTTTATAAATTTATTAATTCTTGTAATTATATTCTGTAGCTAATTGACTCAATTGTTAATTCAATTATTTTAATTGATCAAGTTAATCTGGTGTAAATGTTTTATGTGCATTCTTATCATCAATTATTGGTGATATCAATTATTATGCTTTAACTAAAAAACCCAAAGCTTTTCCCATATTTTATCCTCTAGAGTCTTCTTATATTCTCCCGTAATGATATATACCCATTTAAAGACATCCTGTAACTGTTGTCCATATCTAATAAAATTAAATAGTTGGTAACATTTGACCAAGAATATTCTAAAGTTTATAAAATCAAATTAAATACTTTTCCAATTTATTTCTAATATTGAGTATTCATACCCTCTACTGCTTTCATGGAAATTGTAAATTCTTTAGCTGCTTCAAAGATTGTTCCACAAACAACATTAAGTCCAAAAGTCTTTACTTATGACATCATATTTTAATATAGAGCTTTGTATGCAAGACCACAAAACTAATTTTATATAAATTTATCATTACAGCATGCTCTATAAATTCTAAATTATAGGTTGATAAATCATATAACTATGATATTGAATCTTTAGAAAGTCCATGAATATTTTGTTTTAATTATTCTAATGCCCATAGACCATTTCTAAGTTTTGTGTAAGCTGCTTTACGATCAGGGTCTGTATCTTTTATAATCTTGCTATTTGCTTAATAGTAGTAACTAATTGCAAGATTATAATATTGGGATATCAATTCTAATCTACCAGAATTCAATTAAGAACTTCTCTTCTAAAAATGATAGTAAATAATTTAGATACATGATCATAGCTGTCACTCCAGTAAAACATAACTTATGGTGATCTCTAATCTCCTTATTCAAATCTTAAATGTTTGAAGAGTAAAGAAAAGTGCTTAAGATATTCAATAAGGTTGTTCTCTAGATTTTCGGATGTTAAAGGATCAGTGGCAATACTCAAATTGATCTTATCATAATCCAAATTCTATCTCAATTTTTATGTTTTATCTAATATATCCCTAATCTGTAATTTATGGAAATTTTAATTACTTCACTAAAGAGTGTTGCTTCTCCATAGCAACTTAGAATTGCTTACTCAACTGGTTTGATAATATCTACCTGTCTAGTCTATTTGAGGGGTAAGTTGAATAACATATTATGGAATTTTTAATAATATATAAATGATTCCGCAATTAAAGTAATTATGTGATGGGTAAAATTTATTAGAAAATATAGAACACTTAAAGACATTCCCATTATTAAAATCTATTTGAAATAACACTAATTTAAATATACAAAAATGATAAAGAGATCTTTATTCAACAAATAATAAAATAGCAGCTCAAAAACCTTAATATTTAATCTAGATTGAAGGACATCTCATTATTCAATTTTATCATCTTATTTTTAGATGAGATCAAGTAAATCATTATCAAAAAACAATAATTACTTTCTAAAAAATATCCAATAGGATTAAGTAAATTAAATTATCAATCTATTGGATAAATTTACATTATTGTACAATTCAATATGAAAATTGCAATAACAGAATCAAAATCAAATCTCTATATTCAGCAACCTTTTCAAATCAGTTTTATCATGTTTTAATAGTAAAATAACTTCATACCTATTGAAAAAGATATACATTTGTAATAAGAGAAAATGATACAAAAGATCGAATAAGAAACAACAATATAAATCAATTTATAATAATTACAATTCGTTTAATAACAATTAATGCATGCAAAAACTACTAAGAAAATTTTCCAAGAATCCTTAAAATAGTCTAAGCAATATTGATAATTTTTAATATTTATATATAAAATGTTTTAAAATTAGTTTTAGAATGTACCGTTGTTTGAGATATTTGATTCCAAAGGTATTTTTTTTAATCAGTTAGATATACTTAACAAAGCAAACAAGGAGAAGGAGAAGTTTTACTAGCAACTATTAAAAATTACAACGAATAGTTTTGTTAAAGATTTCGATAAATAATTAAAGAGTATTAACGATACTCATTAATCATAGACTATATTATTGAATTGCAAGGACAGAACACCAAAGTCCATTTTCCAAAGGATGGAGATCTTGGATTAGTCTAACAGTTCTTATGTCTCTAAATCTATGTACCATAGACATAATAATGGACAATTGAATTTTCAATTACTGATACATCTAAAACAAAGCGACATGTTTATTTGACATAGAATTGTAAGTAAATTGAGAAAAAGCCATTCCATATAAAATACCCAATAGAAGTACCAAAAAACATATGGCTAAACCTTTAAATAGATCTGTATTCATTTATTCAAGGTTGGAAAGGAATGACATTTAGATCACTTGATTTATTTGTTATATAATCACCTTGCAAATTAAGAAAAATTTTTACAATGAAATAGGCTGATCCTGATGGGTAAGTCACTTTTATTATTTTTAGCTCCATTATGGGAAAACATGGATTTCCTATTGGTTTTGAACATTAAAACTTAATAATCCAATACCAAGATAATAGTTTAGAGGCCTCTCATGACAGTTGTTAAATGAAGTATGCATATTCTGTTTATTATTTAAGGATTACATCTAAAAAAGCTACTGGTTTTTCATAACAATCTCAAGCACAGTAAAGTTAGAAACAATAAAAATTAACATAGGAGAAAATAACTAGAGCTAATATAGTTTATGATGATCATCCTACTCCTAAGAAAAAGACTTAGTAGCCATAATAATTATCACAATAATAATAATAATAATCATAACAATTGATTATTACTTCTAGTTCTAAATCAAATAAACAGGATATTTCTTTAAATGATTTAGATATGAGTACTAAATAATCTGTTAGAAATAACAAAATTAATTCACATAATGATAGTGTTAAAAGGAAAGACAAATCAGTTTAAAAACCTAGAGATTTATCTAATGGTAAAAAACCATAGAGTAATATCAGAATGACACATTCATTTCCTAGAAAACCTCCATTGTAGGAACAGTTAAATTAAGATTATTATATAAAAACATAAAAATTTACTACATTTAATGAATAAAAATAAAAAGAAGATGAAATTGAAGAAAATATTGAAATAGCAGTTGAATAAAAACCTGAAGAAATTTTTGAGGAAAGTCAAAAAAAAATTATAACTGCTAATAATTTTAATAAAAGAAGCTTAAGCGAACTAAAAGGGGAATCTAGCAATCAAAGAGTATTATAAAGTAATTAATTTTAGAATGATCAATAATTTGAAGATAGCTTAGAACAACCATTTAAAAATAGTGTCACAACATTTGCATAAGAAGGTTATTATGCAAATTAACTAAAAAAATATACAGATTTAAATCGCCCATTCACTCCTGAATATAACTCTGATTTCAAATTTGGCCAATCAAATTATCAATAATTCTGATTTAGTTCAAATTTTTTATAATTTAAAGTTTTCATTCACTTCAATAAACTTTTCTTCATCTTTATTTAAATCATTAATTTCATTAGTTTTTACAAAAGTAAACCTTTCATAAGTTTCGTATTTCTGCATTTTATTTATGGGAGTATCTTAAGGAGGCTCTTAAGTAAACATATCATCAAAATGTCTTAAGTCTTTGTGACCAAAAACTTTTGGTTTAAAAGGCGGTTAAATTTATTTATTATATAATTTATCCCAATCGATTTCTCTAAAGAATTCATGATCTTTAATTTCTTAACTTCCATTTGCTCCTAATCTTTTTGTCGGCTAATAATATTTTTAAATTTTACATCATTTTATAATAATCCATTCAATACTGATCTAGCAGCATTTGAAAACCATTCTTTCATTTCTATAGGTTTTTCAAGTCTATTTTTAAACATTTATGTTTTATCTTTTGAATAAAAAGGTGGTGCACCCGCAAGCATTTCATAAAGTAAAGCACCTAAACTCCACCAATCTACAGATTTATTGTGTCCTCCACCTAATAGAATTTCAGGTGCCAAATACTCAGGTGTACCACAAAATGTGTTTGTTTTTTCATCACCCTTAACATTAATTTTAGACAAACCAAAATCTGTTATTTTCAGATGTCCTTCTATATCTAATAAAATATTTTCTGGTTTTAAATCTCTATAAATAATATCACTTTTATGCAAATATTCTAATGCTAAAACTAATTCAGCTGTATAGAATTTTGCTCTTTCTTCCTAAAAACGAAATGCTCTTCTTAAATGAAAAAACAATTCCCCTAAAATTATTGTACGTAAATAATACCTCCTATTAGAAAATCCATTATTAAATATAACTTAGTTTTTGTTTAAAATGCATAATGTAATTATACAATAAAAGGATTCTTCACATTTTCGAGAATTGTTCTTTCATTCTACATATGTAATCTCTAATTTCTCTTTTCAATCATCTCTTTTCTCAATATTTTCATAGCATATAGTTTATTTGTTGATTTATGTGTCACTAACATCACTTTTCCAAATGATCCTCTTCCTAAAACTTTTTCAAATTGAAAATCTGACAATTTTAATATTGCATCTTGGTTATCATCAACAAACAATTACTCACCATTCTCTTCTATTTATTCATATGTAGCTATAGGTGCTTTCATTAATTCCTCATTCATTTGTTATTCGCCTTCTTTTGTAGATATACATAATCCCATATTATTGAATAAAAATTAAATTAAAATCGTTTTACTAACTCTTCTTAATTCCAATAGCATAACATTAAGTTTTTAGAAATCTTTCAATCCATTTATGAAATGAAATTATGAAAAAACTTAAAATTTAACTTAATTCTATGTTTCTTTTATTATTTTTCTTAATATCAAGAATTTTTTTCATAAAATTAAGAACATACAATAATTTTTCATATAATATTTAGAAATTATTCTATATATTTTTGTATATATAATTATATTTGTTAAATATGCTTTATTTTCATTCTTTTAATGTTGTTATCTATTCAGAAGAATTTGAATCTGTCTTTACTTATAATTTTATAGATCTAAAGTAATCTTCACCAACTTCAATCGACTAAAATATTTTATAGAATACATTAGATTCTTTTTTTGGTTCTGGTTTTTAAAACCAAAATACATATATGGTTATGGAAAAAGGAAGTTAAAGTTAGATCAAGACAACTAATAATAATAAACAATATTGAAATATTTATGCTTCACTTTAAATAATCTAAATAATAAAGTTTAAATATGATACATCTAAATAAATTGTACAAGTTTAATTAGTTCCTTTTGCTAAAAAATATATATCCTCTATAAAATATAACAATTAACCCACAAATGTCACACAAACAAGGATCCTTATAACACATGATCATACCAGAAGTTTATCCTTTATTGATTAATTTTTCTAATATTTTCTTCAAAGTTGACAAAATGACTTAAAATAGTTGATTTTAATGCTAGATTCTTTTTAATACTTAGGTTCAAAGAATGGGCTACTGCTATTAAAACTAAATCCACGATAAAACCAACCATTCTTATAATATGAAATATCTATTCTCAAAATTTATTTGATTACATATACTTTGACAAAGTGAATAAGGATCGTGTATACTCGTTATGTAGTCATAAAAATTCCACAATAAAAATAGAGTAAACAAAAAAATTAAGCAAATGCAATAGATTTTCAATTATAACATTTTTTGAGGCTGGAAAGTCTTGATCTTTACAGTTTTCCTTGCGAAATAAAATACAATATAGATCAAAAATGTATAATACACATATAACTAAAAAAAGTAAAAGACCATCAAAGTTTTTTATGCTATATTAAAAATAATATTGCCTAATTTATAAGTAGTATTTTACAAGTTAGACACAAGATAATTAAAATGTAGATAATATTTTTTCTTTTTTAAGCCTACTTAAAATTTTTCTTTCGTCTAATCAATTAACAAATCCCAACCGCCAAGACTCCTAATGCAATTACTTCAGAAATGCACAAGCTTTGGATAATTTATGTATAATTACGTGATGCAATAAACTCCAAAATCTTGCAAACAGGTCACTATTCCATTAGCATTAATTGTCATTTGTTACAAAAGAAAATTAAAAATTAATTTTTGTAATATATAATTATATAATCAACTTAATTTAGTTTTGATATCTTAAAATTGTGGAAGATCATGTTCTTGTAAATCTTCATCAAGTGAATGTTAGCTATCAATATCTGAATCAGATAAAAATGCATTTAACAATTGTGGTTTTTTCATCTCTGTTATATATTATTCATTATTTAACTTTTTTGCATTTTCATCATCAGATTCGTCATAGTTTAGATCAGATTCATTAGATTTCTAAGATTTATAACCTTTCTCTATTTTATATGTTTTTCCAGAACTTTTTCTCGATAAGCTCATTTTTTAAATATCATAACTTTTGTTTAATCTAGTTGCAAAGAACCTTTTTATATAGGCTTATATATAATATTAATACCTCGTAATTCCTTAATAAGCTTCAATAGGTCTGGGAGCATTGTGATCTCCTAAAAAAGTGAAGATATACTTTTCTCCCTTGAAAGCTTCATATAATTGTTCAATGTGATTTTTTCCAATCATTTTGTCATTGCTAGCTCTAACAAAATAGGCAGAACATTTAGAAGATAATTTCCTAATATAAAGCATAGTATTTATATGTTTAGGATCATATCTAACTATTTTTCTTACTTTTTTTCTTAATAAATAAAAAACAAATCTAACACCAATTGTTGGAACATGAAAATTATCACCAATATCGATACAAAGTTATTTTAGATTACTAAATGGAGAATCGAGAACTAAAGTGTTTAATTCAGGATATTCAGCTGCAGCCATAATAGCAGTTACTGCCCCCATACTTCTACCCCAAACTCCAATAGGTCCTAATAGGGGATATCTCTAGTAAGAATTATAAGTACTTCTCTTTGATATATTTTAAAATATTTAAAAAGTCTTCCTTTTCATACCATCCGAGAGATACATATTATCCATCTGATATACCACATCCACCAAAATCAAAGTTTACTAAACTTATTCCTTCTTAGGCTAACATATTAGCATAACATGAGGATTCCAATCTTGAACTTGAATTTCCATGAAGATATATTACACATGGTCTTGCTTTATCCTTTAAATATACAGGACTATATAAAGAACATTGTAATTTTAAATTTTATTCTCGAGATAAAACGATAAAATCTTCCCTGTAAATGAGTAATTTATTTACTAACATAGTTGTTGGACCTGTTTTTAATTAACTTATTGTAATATACCTAATTTTTAAGGTTCATAAATTTATCGAGGTGGTCGTACAACAGCATCAACAAGTTGATCAAAATAGCCTCTTTCTTTTGAACTCTTTAATTTAATTTCTGCATTAAAAGGTTGATTCATAATTTATATATAAAATATTTGTATTATAGTGATCAAATTAAGTCTTTTGAACTTTATAGTTTTATCTTTTACTATATTTTAGCCTACTCTTGAGTAAGATTTAGTGATTTATTTGACTTATGTGCTTTTTGATCTTTTACTGTAGCTTCATAAAATTCCATTGATTTTAGCTATTAATTTTGACAACGTAATATAGGCAATTAACTTAGATTAGGAATTTGATATTATTATTATAGTCTAATTTAAGGTTTTTATATTTTAGGAGTTTATTGGCAGGATATTAATAATGGTAATGCTTATCTTGGAATTTATCCTGTAGTATTATATTATTTATGAAGTTCCTAAATTTAATCTTAAAGAATTTTGTCAACAATGACTAATTTAGCTCTTCTATATGCAAAATTCATAATAGTTATTCTAATATCAGAATTATTATTGTTCAAATATTTCCATATATAAAATGCTCCTCTCTTTAAAACTAAATATTAATTATAATTGAATACAATATTTTTCAGGATATTTCATAAACTTTTTCTTTAATACAGCATGAGAACACCATAAATGATCATTATCTAAATCTATCATAGGTTAATATATGTTCTTTAGATCTTTTCGTAACTTTCTTTACTATAATTTTAATTAATATTTCAACTCTTTTTCAGGATTCAGATTAGGTTCTTAAGCTTACGAATATAATACTAATTTATCAGTAACTGAAACACTGCGATTGATAATTTCTGGCTATTTCATTTATTGTTACGTATTTTCTCGAATTATGACTTTTTTTCTCAATAGTAGCTTTGGCTTAACTTCTTCTGGTTCAGTCTTCTCTACTTTACTGTCATTACTAGTGTCATCTGTTTTCTTTTCAAGTTGCTACTTCATTTTTCCTATTACAGAAGTCGATGCTGATTGAATTAACATCTGGAATTCTTCCCTTGATCTACTCACTAGAAACTTAATCAATACGATCGCGGTGGACATCTGTTTTGTTTTGATCGGTTACCTTAAAATCACATTCTTAATTTGATTGTACAAAATGAATGCCATCAAAATTATTTTCAGCCATAAAGAATTACTTAAACATTGAAAATAAATCCTTTGTATCCTTCTAATTAAATCTTATTATATGCATTTCAGGTCTGAATTATTTTATTATTATTTAACTAAATCTATATATTTACATCCTCTCCGGCAAATTCACCATTAAAATTTTTGATAATGCCTCTATAATCTTGTTTTCCTCCTCAATTCTTTATTTATCATTCTTCTTCAGTCCTATTATTTTGAATCCCAGTTATCTTAAAGATTATTACACCTTTGTGAATTCCAAATCAAAAAATATTTGATTTGCAAGTACTTATTAATTTATAGCATTAAGTAATCTAATATCTTCACTACGTTCTATGATTATTTTTTGCAAAATTTCGAGTTAGTTAAATGTAATATCCATATTAAATTTTTTATAATTAATATTACATTTATTTTATAACTAAATCTTATAATTAAATTTCTTAACTCACATAATTCAAATCTTATTATTTCAATCAATTTTTTTACCATCTTAATACTAATTTTTTATTTGTACTTTTTTACCCATTATTAATTTACTCTACTAGTAATAAATTTAATTATTAAAGGAGAGTTTATTGAATTTTATTTTCACAAGCATTGCCTTGAAATTTTATTTATAATTAATACATGTTATTTCCAAAATAAAATAGCATATTTAATTAAGACAAAATTATAACATAAATTATTAAAAATCAATTTCTTATTTTTTAATTTTTGAGATGTTCTTGGAAATACACAGTTATTAATTCATATTATATAAATATCAAATTACTTTCCCTTTATTAATTTATAACTTACTTTCTATGAACAAAATTAAAAAGAGTTTATATAGTTATTAATGAGACTTACTTTAAATATTTTTTTAAATGTAAAAAAATAATATTTGATTATTTTTGAATGTTAAGAAGATTCAATAATGTATATTTTTGTTACAAAAAGAAATTTAAAACTATCTTTATTAATTTTAAATAGTAAAGGATCAAAGAAAGGATTCTACTTTTAATGAAAATATATAAGTTTTAATTATTGTCATCTCTCTATTACTTAAAATAGTTTAATTTTAGAAAAGTTGAGGTTTAAATCTAAATAATTTGATTATTGATATTAATTAAATTAATAATTACTTATGAGTGCTTAATAAAGAAGATTATAAGAATAAATGCTTAAGATGGGTTATTAACCTGGAAAAAAGAGTTTGTTTTAGTTGAAACCTATATCTCACTCTAGATAATTTCAAACTCTTCCTGATATTCCTATTACACAAAGGGTAGAAGTTACTCCTTAAGGAGCTTCAAAATTATAAAAGATAGTTAATACATATCGAGCTTCAAATGCTAACATTAGAATTACTTGCAAAAGAACATCAATCTAAAGAATGTCCATTAAGGAATAAATAAAGAATTATGTAAAATACTAAAGTAGTGTGTAAGTATATCAATTATTTTATAGATAACTTGATGGTTTAGATGCTCTTAGAAATCTTATTAAAAATGGAGATACTTTGAGTCTTAATATAAACAAAGCATCAAATATAGAATTCTTTGTAGGATCACTGAGTGATGGACATGGATTATTTGGAGATTAAATTTCTTCCTTAATTACACAGTTTTATTTAGAAGAGCTAAAAAAATTGTTTGATTCGATTCCCATATTATAGCTGAGCTTAACTTTAAAAGATAATCTAAAGAAGATTTATTAACAGATTGAATAAAAATTAGTATATTAGTGTTTATATTATATTTTAGATTGAATAAACCTTATATGATTATAGATTGAGTGGAGCCTCACTGCTAAGTTTAATTATAGTTAATAACATAATATACTGTTCAAATTTGGGAGATTCAAAAGCTGCCTATTTTTATAAATCAGAATAGCTAAATGACAATCCAAAATAAATAAGAAAATTTGTCTAAAAAAATTTAAATTAAATTCATGATACAAATAGTGAAAAGGAAGTGGAGAGAATAATAAAAAGGGGAGGGAAAATAGATTAAGCCCTTTTTAAAGGATAAAAAGAGGGAAGTTTAAAAATATGGGTTCCTAAATTAAATTATCCTGGCATCAAAATAACAAGATGTTTTGGAAATCTAATTGGTAAAAGCATAGGAGTTCTAGCCGAACCTGATGTTCTGGAATTCAAAATTCCAAAATCGGGATATCTTCTTATTGCAAGCACAGGATTATGGGAGAAATTAGATCTATTGGTGATTGATAAAATCTTAGATAGCAATTACCCTCCATAATCTTGGGCTGATGTAGATAAGACCATAAAATAACTTGGAAATGAAACTAAAAAATTTTGGGACCCAGATGGATAAGGATCTGTAGACATTTCTTTAAGCTTAGTTTACATATCTTTAGAAAAGTGATTTTAAATGATATACATAATGATAATTTATTCCAAACAACTACTAATTTTATGTTTCCTTTGATACTCCAACTCGAGATCTATTTAATCCTTTTACAGACTTTATTATATAATTATATTAATGTAAAATAATAAAATTACCTCCTTTCATCTCAAAAAAATGTTGACTCCTATCCAAAACAAGAAAAGTTAGGACTAATTTTTTTAAAATTAAATCTAATCCTTTGTACATCTAAAGTCATATATGCCAATCAACCCTTTAAGATTACCTTAACGAAAACACAAAAAGGTAGCAGATTTGACATAAATTGATGATATTAAATGTAAATCTTGATAAAATAAGAGCTAATTTAATAGAAACAATAAATAAGAAAAACACTCTCGAACGGTTCAACTTTGTAAACTTTTGAATTGCCTGAATATATAGGAGTCTAAACAATTGTAGAGGAAAATGACGAAAAGGCAAAATCTTACACTAAATAGCCATCCCCATCTTATGTCCATTATCACAATCATACAAAGTAAGTGATGAATTTAATGAAAAATGCTCATCAATAATTATCTCCAGTTATTGGTAAAAAAAAATTAGAAGCAAATCTGATAGAAACATTAGATTTCAATCAATTTAAAAGGTTGATGAAAGCAATTTACTAGCCAAAAAAATAACTCAATAAATAAGTACCTATGAAAAAAAGGACCTATTCAGAAAAAATTTTCCAAAATAAACCTCTTGAATAAAATAATTGAATATAAACATTAAATTCTTAACTTTAATATGATCTCATATGTCTTTTGAATATTTGAACACTTTAAACAATTTAGATTTTTATAATATGTTTCATGCTTTAATTTTTTGAAAATCGATTATTTATTTATTTATTTTCTCCATTATATTATTCCCAATCTTTTATATAGTATCTTACTTAAAGAAATTTTATAATAATTATGAATTGATTTGCCAATTAATTCATAGCAAACTGAAGGTTTTCCTAATAATATACATTAAAATATATTAATCTAAGATAGTTAAAGTATTATAATATAGATAATAAAGTTTAAATAAAGTAAAATTAGTGCTTAATTTTTATTTTAAAATAATTATCAAGCCTTAATTATATTATTGATGACCCCTTAACCTAGAAAGAGAAAACCATAAAAAAAGGATTCTCCTATTTAAAACAAAGATATTAAGATTGTTGTGGTAGATAGTTTGAATAGAAATTAAAAAAAGTAAGAAGTGAAAAAAAAGGGAACCAAAGTACAGTTAAGCAAATTATAAAAATTTTAAGCACAATTGATTCCTTAAAATAATATGGATTAGATAAGGTTAAAACATATCTCATGTAAAATACTGTGATTTACTTTAGCTAAAATTTAGTAGAATTATAGAACTTAAAATCAGTCATATTTATTAAAAATTAAGAACTAATATGATTAATATAAATCATTAATTTTAAAATATACTTTATTGACTGAGTTGGATGATTTTTCTCTTGCTAATGATATTCTTAGAAAAACTATTATAAATACATTCATTAATTAGATTAAGTCAAGTTTTGATTTTCAAAACCATTCAACGTTATAATTAATAGCAATTGATCAAATGATTTCTATATCTTAAAAAAATAATGATTAAACCAAATAATTAGAAATATAAAATCTAATCAGACCTATTTTAAAATCAAAAATATTGGATTAGGCTTATATCAAGTTGAAAATAATGATGTAATAAAGAAATATACAAAAAAAATTGGAAGAAAAAAATAATCTTTTTTAAAATTTGAAAGAATCAAGTCTTTAAAGTTGTTTTGATAATGAAATGGGAGATTTACATTTTTCTGCTTTAAATTATGCAGAGCTTTTGGAAACATAATAAAAACATGAGTTAATAGAAAATGCAAAAGCACAATAAGTTAAACCTATAATTTTCGATGGCTTTTTTAAGAATTCTAATTTACAGAATCCTAAATAATAAATAAATTCAATTAGATAATTTTTAATAAGACCAAATGCTAAATAATATATGGAAATAAGTAAAGTTTCATAGAAATCAAGAAATCAAAGTAAGGAATCTTGTTATTCTAAAAATGATTAATATGTGACTCCTTTTTAATCAAACATTATGTAATTAAAATCTTTACCATTGCGTAATTTAAATTAAGATGTTAAATTCTAAAACAAATAGAATTTTTAATAAAATTTAAATGCTTAATTGAGTAGAATTTAAAATATGAATTCTACTTTTGATTTACCTTTTGATTTAGAATCATAAGCAAGTTGTACACCTTTAAATGCTAAAAAAACAATGTTAGTATCAAATAGGCCTGTCAATAAAATAGGTTTTGAAGGTGGATGTAGAGAAATAGATAAATATAGTTATAATTCAAGGAAATAAATAAACAATCCAAATTTAAGTGTTAATAAAAATGAGATAAATTAATCTCAATTATTTGCTTATTAAAATAGGAGTGTAGATTTTAGTAGGTAATTAGGATTCAGTAATTTATACAATTCAAAAATGTTTAATGTTAATAGCAATTAAACAAACCCTAATAATTATTTATAATATTCAAAAATATAATCTTTGCATGCAAGTACAATAGTAAATGATTGGTTAAGTGAATCTTCATAAAGTAGATTAGTACTTTAGTAATAGCACACGAGCTAATAGTACAATTGGATAATATTTACAAATGAAAATAGCAATATGAGGTTTAATAGACAAATTAATATTTAGAATTTGAAATTATTGTGTGTATAAATAGATTCAAATTTCTTTGATGATTTCGAATGCATATTATTGAGTGATAAATTTAAAATATTGATAATGGAGCAGAAAGATTTAGTTACTCCTGAAATGCATATGAGATTGGATAAGGGTGATGAAAAAGGGGCAATTTAAGCTCTTATTAATAAAATGAAAATTTAAATGCAATAATTTATGCTTTAGTATAATAGTAGATAGGTCATAGTATTAATTTAATATTAACATTAATTTTTTTTAAGGATGTTAATTGAATACATTTTCCCATAGTTAGGGTAATTGCAAGAATAATATAAGATAACACCATTTTATTAAATAGAGGAGTTGCAAGAAATAATATTTGATTTAATTTAGAATTAAGAAGATATTAGATATGATAGATTAATAAAAGTACCAAATGATCTAAACAAATTTCGATCTAAAATATAAAATATTGAATTTTCTAATTTGGTTACTATGAGATGCTTAAATCAGTTATACTAAACTTTAGTATAGCAATTAACAAATTGATATAATTAATTTAAAATTTTTAAATTACTTTATATAAATTATTTTAACGAACATTAAGATACAAAAGCGATAAATGATGTAGATAGATCTATAAAATATATTTTTATTATAATTTGAAATACTTTCAAAAAATTATTAAATTAAAAGTTAATTAAATTTATGCACACAAAAAATAGCACATTGAATTTAAACACTGATAGATCAACTAATTCATAGACTCCTGTTGTAAATAAAGCAAATTAAAATAGTATTTTTAAGGTTATAATATTAGAATCAATTTATGATGACTATTAATATAAAAAAATAATCCCGAAAATTGAATAACCGGAGATTTTATATAATTCAGAAATGTTTGATCCAAAAGAGAATCTCAGATAGCAAATACAAGAACTAAAGAGATAAATTAAAATTAAAGAATTAAGTTATGATTAAATTGCTACTGCATTTTATTAATCATAAAATAAAGTAGAGGAGTTAAAAGAGGCACTTGAAAAATCAGAGAAGGAGAAAAAACTAATATAAATAGAAATCCAAAATCATATTGAAAATATTGAATACAAATAATTTGACATAAAATAATAACAAGAACTATATGATATATATTAGAGTGAAAATGCTCAGTTAAAGTTAACTACTGTTTAGGTATATATATTATGTGTAATTTAGTTAAAAGACACAATATTAAGATTATAATGTGAAAATAAACAACTAAAAGATTAATTAGATTCTTTGTAAACAAGTTCGTAGAGTGTTGAAAGAAAGGAAAGTTCAAGAATTTCATTTGATTTTATATTAAATGATTAAGATTAATCGCAATAAGGATAAGCTATTTCAGCAAATGCATCTACAAATTGTGATAGAAATTGTAATTGTACAAAACGAATAATATTTTTAAAAGAAGAACTAAAAAAATATTAAGCTCAACTTAAAGAGAAAGATTAACTTATTGAAAAATTAACTGAATAAAACTTAATAATATAGAAAGCATAGAGTAGAATATCAAAATGTTCAAAAAAATAAATTCTATTAGGAACACCAATAATAAATTAAGAAAAAAATGAACAATTTTAAATAAAGGAGGAAAATAATAATGATTTTTGTTAATTAGAAGGATATGTAAGTGATAAAAAATTTAAAGATCATTATTATGTAGAAGAATCTCCAATGCCTGTAAATTATAATCCCTATTTAATTTAGTTAAAAACATCATCAAGTGCAAAATCAACATTATAGAATAAGTCTAAAAAAGAAGTTGAATAGATGTATCGTAAAATGAATTAGTCTGCTTTATATACTGCAGGTTTATTCTCAACAGTGTTAGATTTTAAAAATTTACATTAAAATACAGGATAGTTTGGAAATAAAGGTGTCAAATCAATAATGCAGTTATGATAATAATATAAATTTATATTCATACACTTTTCATTAATCAAACTAAGATTTTTAATTAGCACTTTATTCATCTTATTTTTCTTTGTTTTTATAATTTAATTCTTATTATTAAGAAATAATTTGTTTTAAATCTTATCCTAAATCAATGTTTGATTAGATTTAAGAATTATTGATTCCTTTAAAACTTGATTCTATAAATTTATGTTCTAATTTTTATTGTTTTTTTGATTTATATGAAATATTTGATTTTTCAGATTCATCTTCTAATTATTATTATATCTATTTTTTCTATTAATATTTGATAGCTTATTCTTCTTATTAAAGTAATGATTAATAAAATTATTGTGCATCATCTTCTGGATCTTAATAATCTTCATTATCATTATCATTTTAACTATTTTCATCATCATCTGCAAATTACATCATTTTTTTAATGAAATCTTTTTATTATTCTTCATTTTAACTGTTTCTTTAATGTAAATCATCTTAAAAATTATTTTGATTGAATTAATCATCTAAGTCTCTGTCAGGAAGATTTTCATCACTATTAGCAACAGAACCATTTAGAAATTCTTCAGAACACATACTCATTTATTCAATTTTTTAATGTATTTCAATTAATCTTTAATTAGTAGTTCTTTAAATATAGATATCAGAATCAGTAGATGATTCATCTTCTGATTTAACTTCAGGTATAGTATAAGTAGTTTATTTATTAGTGTTATCTTCTCTTTTAATTTCTTATTTAACTCTAGCTTCTTATTTAATTTAATCATTAATTTTATTTAATAGATTAACAAGAGGACTTTCTTTTTTTTAATGTTATTGATTTCCTTTAGCATTAGTTCTTTGATTAAGTTTTTCTAAGAAATTAGGTTTATAAGGATCTTTTCCTTTTCTTTTATCAATAACTTCTTTATTTTTATCAAGTTCAAAATCCATAAATTCATGAAATCTTTAACATTTAATAGTATCTTTTTCATGACATAAACCAACAACTTCTGCTTTTAAGATTGTACATTCTTAACAAAAAACTTTTGTGTCATTTCCACATTCTGAACATTTAACAATTTCTTCACCTTCAATAAAAGTATGTGGTTAGATTTTAGCAAAATAAGAAAACCTATTTTTTCCATTTTCTTCTTATTAATGTTCATATGATTTATATCTTTCAGCAAATTAATACATAAGATTAATTCTGAAATCTCTCATTTATCCTTTATTTCTATATGATGATTCAGGATTATAACTTCTAAATATTAAATATGCATTTAAAATAGCAGTTTCGAAAAGTCTTTCAAAAACACTTTACCACCATTTTTTAGCAGGAAATCTAGATCTATATTTAACAACATATGAATTTCTTCTATCAACACCTCCTTTATATTTATTGTAAACATACATCATATAAGGTGCTTTTAAATGAGGTACATAATAATGTTATTTACTAATATCCCACATATGTTATTCATTTAAAGAATTATCAAGAAAATTAGAAATTAATGCAATTTCTTTTTCACTTGTTCCTTAAAAATACATTAGCATAAGTTCATTAGATTAATTTAAATAATATGCATAATGATATTAATTATAAATTTATTGAAAATGTTTAGAAGTAAGATCTTTTTTTGTTAATCCAGTCTAAAAAATAAATAATAAATAATAATTACTCTATTATGTCTAATAGTTCCAACAGCACCAATTCCTCTATTTCTTAATTCTCTAAATAACATCCAACTTGAATAATAATTATCCATTACTACTTTATGTGCTTTATGTTCATAATCTTTACACATTTATAATACTAATTCCATAGTTCTATGTTATGTATCTTCTTCATTAACAAACATAGTTTATTTAAAATCATTATTCCACATGGTTTAACCATGATATAATCTTAATTAAAATGTATATGTATTTGAAGCATCACAAAGTAAATATTCTTTTATACCCCATTTAGTAGGTTTATCAGGATTATATACTTTAAATTATACCTTACCTGCAAAAGGAATCATACCTTCATCTATTGTAATAAATTCTCCTGGATAATAATATTTAGCAAATCTCATATTCATCTAATTTAAAAAATCTCTTATTTTCCATATAGGATCTCTACCTTTCAATTTTAATGCTTCTGCCCCACTAATATTTAAACAATTTCTTATAGTTTTAAACTTTTCATAACTAACAATAGAACTCATTCTTTATGTTACCCAATGAGCATAACGATCCATTTTTTCTTATGCTAACTCTCTTAATTTCCTTCTTCCTGTTTCAGCTTTCTTTATAGGTTTTTATCTAGCTGATGATTTCCAATAATCTCTTTAATTTGATAATCTTACAATCCCAAAGAATATTTATACTGCAAAATATGCTTCTAATTCATATTCAGTAAATTCCCATTACATTAATGAGGGTTTCTTAGCTCTTATTCCCATATGTACCATACCATGAATATATGAATATATTTATTCTTCTACTTTTTATTAATACCTTTCTCTTGTATGTTTTATTATTGTATTATAGATATCATTGTCAAAAAATAATCTAAAAGCATCATATTCTGATTTAATTTTATTTTTATCAATAGATCGAGGTCCACTTGATGATTTATCAAATATTTATCTCATATAAAATGATTCTGGAACTTCATGAACACTTTTTATTATATATAATTAAATACCTTTTTACTGGTTTCCATGATACTCCTGGATCTTAAACTCCTTCTTCTTCATCTACTTCTTTTGTATTATTAGTAGTAATTCTTTATAAAAGTTTTGGTACATAATTATTTCTCATCTTTTATAATTTTGGATCATCAAACAATGATCTTGTATCTTCTCTAGGTCTACCAGGATTCTTTTTTTCTAATTTACCTGTTGGTGCTTCATAAATAAATGTTCCACTTTTTGATATTGGTATTAATTTCTCTTCAAAGACCTCTAATAAATAATTTATATATATTTCTATACTTTATTAACCAAATTTTCTAACTTAGCCATCATCATATTAAACATTTATATTCATTTTTTCACCTGCTTCTAATCTTACAGGAACATGTTAATAATTTGCCAATTATCTCCTTTTTATTGGATCATCTACTGCAAATTCACATTCTTATATGTCTTTCTTTTTCTTTATTGGTTTTGCTTATATTTTAGCTTTATTATTAGGTATTCTCTTTTTATGTTCACTTGGATTTAAATCTTAAAATTCATCTTCTGCGTCCTTTTCATTTTTATCTCCCCAATCTTCTTCCTCTTCATCATTATAAAACATTTAATGATTAAAGTTTATTCATATAAACTTCTATCTTTAATTAAGCAAAATATTTTAATGATTTTTTATATTATTATTTTGTGAGATATATAAATCATGAAATATTATTGCATAAATTCATATATATTATTTTCGTAGCTTCTCTTCCTCTTACATCTATTGGTCCTGTCTTTACTTATATATTCTCTCTTCCTTTAGGTTATATTCTCCTTGCTGGACTAACATATATTTTCTATATAAGTTTTTAAGAATCTCCAGGTTTTGGTGATCCCATTCTCATTCTTTATTCTGGCTTTTAAATTATATTATATTCTGTAATTCTTCTTCTTGGAGAACCACATTTCAATTATTATTAACTTCCATATTATCGAAGTGGAGATCTTGGTTGAATATTTTCTTAATATTCTACTAAATTTAACATGTTGCCATATTTTTTTACGAATTAAGAAGATAGAATTTAATTTATTTGAGGTCTATTATTAGGATCTAGAGATAACAATTGAGATATTAATTAGCTAGCTTCTTTTGATATTTATGGCTTCATTTTTGGTTAACATTATTTAATTGCAACTGAAATCTCTTTATAATCTTTTCCTTTAAATGGTGCATATTTATGTAGTAATTCAAATAATAATATTCCCAATGACCATAAATCAATCTTATAATCATACATTACTTCCATTATTATTTCAGGTGCCATATATTCATAAGTTCCACAAAAGGTTTTTCTCTTCTAATGTATATTCTCAGCACACCAACCAAAATCACAAACTTTTAAATTTAATTTTTCATCTAATAACAAATTTTCTGGTTTTATATCTCTATGAAATACATTATTTTAATGCATATATTATAATGCTAAACATGTTTATACAAAATATTTGCATGCCTCTTACTCACTCATTGGTGGATTCTTTTATATATGAGCAAATAAATTGCCTATTTATAATTTAATATTTCTACCATTCTCAACATATTCAATAACCATAAAAATAGAATCATTCTCATAAAATGAATCATATAATTATACTATATTTTGATTATGACATTTTTTATGAACTCTAATTTCTCTTTCTATTCCTTCACTTTCATATTGGTTTGTTATCGTATCACCTGGCATCTATTAAATTTTATTCAAAGTTACTATTTTTATAGCATATTTTTTCTGTGTTGGTTTATGAATATATAAATTTACATTTCCAAAACTACCAGTTCCTAATTTCTATATATATTAAAATTCATTCATTGTTGTAAATGTTCCTGAATTGAAGGTTTAGATTTGTTTAGCATAACTAGACATCAATAAAATTCAGAATTTTAACGGTATAAATATTAATTTTTATTATCATCAATCATAACCGATTTTCGTGGAATTATTAATTAATTCTCTATCATAGATTACTGAATTAACCTTTCCAATACCTAAACACAACTTAAATATAACTATTATAATATTCTTTCAAATTAGAGTTTGCTTTATAATTAAATTTTATTTATACAAATTTTTTTATTATATTTTCTCAATTTTTTCATACGAAAAGTATACCATGTTGTAGTTTGATTCTTACTAATAATAAAACCTTTTAACTACTTCTATCCTTCTTAAATAAAAGGTTAATTACTAAAAATAATCATTAGAACTATTCATCTATATACATTTGATTATTTAAGATAGAATGATTAAATACAAATATATTGAATTTTCAATAAATATTTGTTGCTCGTTTCTTAATATAATTCGGATTTAGCTGATTTAAGTCCTATTTTAATAAGAAGTACAAATATCAACTTCTTATAAAATTATCAATTCTCAATACTGTAATATGATAAGTTCTTAAATAGTTGTTGTAAATAATACTAAAGTAATTTATTTAGAATAAAATCTTTATATTATCTGAAAAATTGAGAGGAATGAATGAACATAAAAAAGTCTTAAAGAAATAAATTGGAGATTATTGTTTTGACATGAATGATATGATTGGGGAAGGTTATTCGTCTAAAGTCTATAAGGGAATGCATATGGTCAGTCAATAAATTGTTGCAATAAAGGTCATTTGTTTAGAAACTTACAATTCACCTATTCAGAAATCTCTTCTTTCAAATGAAATCAAAATTCTTTTACAAATCGATAATCCTAATCTTTTGAGAGTATATGAGATAAGTAGAAGTGCTAATAATACCTATATTGTTAGTGAATATTGTGAAGGTGGTAATTTAGAAGACTTATTGAAACAAGAACCAATGAAAATAGAAAAAGTTATTGATATATTGAGATAAATGTGCATAGGTCTTATGGGTTTGCATTAAAAAAGTATCATAATAACTTATAAAAATGTAGGCATCATTCATAGAGACATAAAGCCAGCAAATGTATTAATCAAGAATGGGATTTTTAAACTTGTTGATTTTGGCTTTGCTCTTATTGAAAATCAGTATGATAGTATTATAAAGAAATATAATGTTGGAACTCCTATGTATATGGCTCCTGAAATTTAATTTTTTAATCAATATTCAGAAAAAAGTGATGTATGGGCTTTAGGTATTATGCTATATGAGATGCTATTTTAAACAGCCCCTAAATTAAATTTAAAGAATAAAACTCTTTTCTAAGAAGTCTAAGAAAAATGTAAATCTCTCGATATCATTTATTAAAATTTCATGATTAGACTCTTTGAAGGAATGCTATAATTAGATCCTGAAGACAGATTAAATATTTAATAAATTCTTTAAATTATATAAGAGAATTAATCCATAGCTACTAAACAAGGTTCAAATTTAGTCAAACTTTCTCAAAAATCAATATCTACCCATAATAATTCACCTCTCTAATTTAAAGGGGTTAAAACTCCAAATGAAATAAGAAGAAAATATATTTAATAAGTTTTATCTAATAATAAACCATAATCTTATGATGATAAAAAATTAGTTAATATTACTAGAGTTAAGACATTAAATCAAGATTAAGAAGTTGAAATCACTTAATTTACATCTGATGATGAATATCCTAATAAAAATATTAGAACAAGCATTAATTAATTCAATTTATAATATTCTCATAAGAAAAGCGACTCAGATATCAATATTGAATTTATTGGTTAAATTAGTACAGATTGTTCGATTTAGAAATCTCCAAAATAATAATTTTTAACTTAATAATGTAATGAGGAAGTAGAATTACCAGTAATTTTGAAACCTACTTATAAATTTTGTGAATTTGTTGAATAGATGATTTAGAATTTTCCTAAATAGGATGATGATTGTATATTAAAATTGCAATTTTTGTTAAGAAAATTATTAGCTATTAAGGCTAAAGTATTCTATACATTTGCACCTATTAAAATCAAAGGTTAATTAGATAATTGGATAAATCAACTTCAATTGTATTATCAAAAAATTTAATATCAAATCAATTTAAATTTAGATAAAACATTTTAATTATTTTTTAATCCTAATTTAGATGATTAAGGTAAACTCTTAACAATGTACATAATTAGTTTGATCAATTAGATGCAAAAATAATCAAATGATTTTAAAATTGTTATTGAAATCTTGGAAGACAATTTATAACATCAAAATGATCCATTTTTATTTGCAAGAAAATGGCTGGCTCAAAAATCATGATTTTATTCGACTTTTTTAGAATTTGTTTATAAAATTTATCAATTATTTATGATTAATTTTTTTATATCTCTTTGATTCAATGAGCTTTGATTAAATTTCCAAAATATAACAATTAAGAAAAAAATTAAAAGAGAAAATAAAGGGAAAAGAAGAAGAAAATAAAATTCAAGGAAAAGAATCTGAAATACAATAAACATTAAATGATAATGTAATTTAATTGTTAAATATTTATAGGAATAATAAAAAGAACGAGATCGTTAAAAATAGTAAAATCCTGATTAATAAAATAAATTAGAATTGCATTAAAAATAAGAAATATAAAAAGTAGTTGAATAGCCTACATAAACTTTTACAATTATTTAAAAAGACACATCAATTTAATAATAAAATATTTAGAAGTCTCTAAAATAAGAAAATAAAACTATTTAAATTATTAATAAGTAAATTAATAATCAATAGAAAATAACCACTTCTGATTCAAAAGGAAAAAATAAATTATTTGAAGAAAACAATAGAAATTAAATTGACTAAAAGAAAAAAAATAATTAATTAGAATAAAAATAAAAAGACTAATATATATTAGAAGATAAAAAGACACCATTATTGCTTATTAAGGAAAAATAAGACAAATAAGAAAACAAGGAATAAGAAGATAAAGAAAAATTAAAATAAAGATAAGAAATTGAAAAGTTTGATAGAGAAAAATTAGAAAAAGACAGATTAGAAGGAGAAAAATTAGAAAAAGAAAGATTAGAAAAAGAAAAATAAAGCTAAGATAAAGAAAGATAAGATAGATTAGATAAAGAAAAATAAGAAAGATTAGATAAAGAGAAATAAATTAGATTAGATAAAGAAAAATAAGAAAGATTAGATAAAGAAAGATAAGAAAGATTAGATAAAGAAAAATAAGAAAGATTAGATAAAGAAAAATAAGAAAGATTAGATAAAGAAAAATAAGAAAGATTAGATAAAGAAAAATAAGAAAGATTAGATAAAGAAAAATAAGAAAGATTAGATAAAGAAAAATAAGAAAGATTAGATAAAGAAAAATAAGAAAGATTAGATAAAGAAAAATAAGAAAGATTAGATAAAGAAAAATAAGAAAGATTAGATAAAGAAAAATAAGAAAGATTAGATAAAGAAAAATAAGAAAGATTAGATAAAGAAAAATAAGAAAGATTAGATAAAGAAAAATAAGAAAGATTAGATAAAGAAAAATAAGAAAGATTAGATAAAGAAAAATAAGAAAGATTAGATAAAGAAAAATAAGAAAGATTAGATAAAGAAAAATAAGAAAGATTAGATAAAGAAAAATAAGAAAGATTAGATAAAGAAAAATAAGAAAGATTAGATAAAGAAAAATAAGAAAGATTAGATAAAGAAAAATAAGAAAGATTAGATAAAGAAAAATAAGAAAGATTAGATAAAGAAAAATAAGAAAGATTAGATAAAGAAAAATAAGAAAGATTAGATAAAGAAAAATAAGAAAGATTAGATAAAGAAAAATAAGAAAGATTAGATAAAGAAAAATAAGAAAGATTAGATAAAGAAAAATAAGAAAGATTAGATAAAGAAAAATAAGAAAGATTAGATAAAGAAAAATAAGAAAGATTAGATAAAGAAAAATAAGAAAGATTAGATAAAGAAAAATAAGAAAGATTAGATAAAGAAAAATAAGAAAGATTAGATAAAGAAAAATAAGAAAGATTAGATAAAGAAAAATAAGAAAGATTAGATAAAGAAAAATAAGAAAGATTAGAGAAAGAAAGACTAGAAAGATTAGAGAAAGAAAGACTAGAAAGATTAGATAAAGAAAAATAAGAAAGATTAGATAAAGAAAAATAAGAAAGATTAGAAAAAGAAAGATAAGAAAGATTAGATAAAGAAAAATAAGAAAAATTAGATAAAGAAAAATAAGAAAGGATAGATAAAGAAAAATAAGAAAAATTAGATAAAGAAAAATAAATTAGATTAGAAAAAGAAAGATAAGAAAGATTAGATAAAGAAAAATAAATTAGATTAGATAAAGAAAGATAAGAAAGATTAGATAAAGAAAAATAAGAAAGGATAGATAAAGAAAAATAAGATAGATTAGATAAAGAAAGATAATAATTACTTGAAAAAGAAAAATTAGAAAGACAAATATAAGAGAAAGAAAGATAAGAATAAACAGAATAAAAAATTATTTAGTAAAATTAAAAAACTAATGATAACTTAATTTCAAATATGCATACTTTGAATAAAGATTAATAATAATAAAATAATTTTTAATTTGTAAATTAAAATGAACGACAAGAATAAAATTAATAAAATATAGAAATAGAATAATAATTAAATTAATAGCAAAATAATAGTAGCTATGAAGAAGGTGAGATTATATAGTAATAAAAATAAACTATCTAAAATGTTGTTAGCAATTAAAATCAAACATAAGTATTTTAAAAAAATGAGGAATAGAATTAGCTAATTCCTGATAATGGGATAAAGAAAATAAGATAAAGACACTGTAAATTAATGAAACAAGATTCAAGAGATAAAATCTTTAGAGATAGCTAAAAAAATCAAAAAAAAAAATTTTAAATATAAAAAAAAATAATCTTTAAATTTATTTAAAATTTACCAGAGATATAAGAAGCATAAGAAAACAAAATATAAAGATTTCTATCAGTTTGTAATTATTTTGATACGATTATTTGATTTAATATAATAATAAATTTTTTTCGACATTATTTACTTAAATTGTGTGTCTAAAAGTAAATTTATATATTAACTATTGTTTAGATAATTTCAACGAATAAATGGCAAAAGAAGTTTAAGTTATAAAATTAAATTCCCCAACAAATATAAAGAAATAAAACACATAATTTTGCTTAAATTCAATAGGAGTTTTTGATTCTAACTAGGATGATGAAATAAAAAAATCTCATTAAAATTTAATGAAAAAATATTATGAACATAGATAGGCAGCTCTATCTACAAATCAATCATAAAAAGTATAAATTAAATTTATTAGATACTCGTTTCAAAGTGTGAAAATTTAATAGATAAGATGAACTTCAAAATAAATACTAATAAAACAAAAGAAAAGGAAAATAGTGCTTTACGATAATCTTAAAATTCAGATATTAGTGTATCTAATCATTTAAATGGAAGAGAAAAGTCTTGCTTTAAGATGTAAGAATAATAATATTTTCAGACTCTAAAATTCAAAGGATTGTAATAAGTAGGATATTCCGCAAACTAAAGTATTGTCAATTAATAATACTTAAATGGATAAGCATACATCTGATTCTAATATATTGATGCCATTATCAAGTTTAGTACGAAAGTCATAAAGATAAAAAAATTAACCGTAACTTTTATAAATAGGCTCAAATGCTTTAATTTTAAAAGATTAGATTGCTGGTTAAGATTACTTGAAGTAAAAATCTCAAAGCTAGCAAGAATTGCATAGGTGTTTATAAGAGGAGATAGAAGATACATTAATGAAAGAGTAAGTAATTAATAAAGAAATAAAGCAATCATCTTAATTTAATGTCAAACAATGTTTTTTTTCTTTAGCTCAAGGATATGAAGGTATTTATTTATTAATATTTTTAATTAAAGGGTCTTAGATCAATAAAATAAAATCATCTAGTATTAGAAAAGATATGGATTTATAAAGACCTTAGGTGTCCAAAAGTATGAGAGCCCATACTTAAGGAAAATAGGAGTAAAAATAAATAAATAGATTATATGAATATATTTTAGAAGGTAATTATTGAGATTTAAAAATGATATCATAAATTACTTATATAAATAAAAATAATAATTCTAAATTTCTATTAAAAATAGTAATTCTACTTGAATTAAAAAATGAATATAATTGAAGTTTTATAAGTGCTAAAATTTTTAATAATAAAAAACTCTAATTTTTGATATTTAAAATCAATTTGAATTACTATTTGATGTTAATATATATTTTATATATATTTATATAGGAAATATTAAAATTTGAAATTATAATTTGATTGAATACAATTTTAAAGTTAATGATAAAATGATTAGGTAAGATATTAATCATAATATTTATTTTGAATATTAAATAAATCCAAAATATTCATTCATAATTATTTTAGCTACTGCACTTCTTGACGCCAAGATAAACTGAATTCATTTACTTTAGACATAAATTCTTCTTGAAAATTTGAATCTCTATTAATGTGTTACAGATTAATTAATTTAGGTTTTGGTTTATCAATTTATTCATATTCTTTTAATTGTCCATAGACGCTATTTTGAATATCATTTTATTTTAAGGTTTCTATAGTAAGCTTCAAATCTTCATTTTCTTGGAGGATTGGTATCTTGATTTGTTTCAACATCTCTAGATTTTTGGACCAAAGATGGCTTGCCTACTATTCATACTATTGAATAATGCGAAACATTTGGCTTAATAGATCGAGCAAATCAGAGACTGTGGCATAGCCTGAGGAATGAATACTTTCTGTTAACTTTGAATTGATTTCAATTTTTAATGAATGGAATATGCATGACCATTAGAAAAGGATGTCTATCTTTATGATATGGGCATCTTTGGTGGTGAATACTAAGGACTAGCCTTTCTCTTATTTTTGTTCTTTCTAGTTTATCAGTAGATAAGTATTGATACCTTAATTTGTAATCAATTAGTTTTTGAACAAGGATGTTTTGGGAAATTTGATTCATTTTAATTTTATTTTTAAGAAGTTAATAATCATTTCTTTACTAATATATTATAAATATCTGAGCCAACTTTTGGATTTATTTTAGGAAGAATTTATTTTTTACTTCGACTACCTCCTTAAGATTATTTTAATTTTTTAATAGCTTCATCAACATTAGTAAAAAAAGGTTTCTCTTTTTTTTATGGACTTTTACTATTTAGTTCATTAAAAACTAAACTACCAGCTTATGATTAAGGAGGATCACAATTAGAATTTAAATAAGAATCCATTAGCTTATCATAAGAGAGTGTTTTTAGAGCAAATTGACGAAGATCTTTTTGATATTAAAATTTAGGTAATGTTGTAGGATCTCTAACATCACTACATGTTTTTAATTCTAATTATAATTTTGAAACCATTTATTTCTAAAATACAAATAAATTATAATACTCTAAATATTCTCCATTTAATACCATCAAGAAAAGCTTCTCTAATATGATCATCTGTAGGATAAGGTTTAGAATTTCTACAAACTTCAGCTAATTGAAATTAACTCATTAAATTAAAATCAATTAGAGAAATTACAAAACATGTAGTTTACATACCTGTAACTGCAGTATATTGACTAGGTTTATAATGTTGTAATTCATAATCTCCAATATATTTTCCAGGTCCTATTTCATCAATCTCTATTTTAAGATTTCTACTCTATTTATTTGGATCATATTTATGTTAAAATTATATCAAACCATTTTTATTTATATTAAATGGTATTGTACGATAGAGTTTTACTGAACCTGTTTCAACTACATAAAAATTATTCAGAGTTTATCCTTAATTTATAAATGCATAATTTGATTGAAATGTTCGATATTCCATCTTACTAGCTAGTCTAATTTTATCTGGAAAATTTAATGAAAGAAATGGCTCTATCACATTTAAAAGATTATATGCCTTGTATTTATTAATGGTTCTTTACTTAATTTGCTTATTCAGATGAATGAAATTTCATATATTTATTGAAATCATTTCTATGAAGAACCATCAACTCAGTTTATTTTCCAACTACTATTGTTGCATTTCTATCTGAATTAAATAACAATGCCAATTCACCAAAACAATCTCCAACTCCAGAAATACCAACTTATTTTATTTCATCTAAACCAGGACTTTTTATTAATATTCTCGCTTCACCTTTTAAAATTATGTAAAACTTATCTGCAGGATCCCCCTACTTAAAAAGTGTTTACTCTTCTTCATAAACTTCCAATTACAAATATCTACACATCTCTATAAACTCTTGTGATTTTGTACTTAAATCATCACTAATATTTTATACTTTGTAAATTATATGAAAAAAGCAAAGCTTTCTAAAATATTTCTTATATCTATTAATTATTCATTGTTTCTTTCATCTGAAGAAGAAAGTAAAAAATCTCTAATCTATTGATATTTATCTTAAAATAGTTGTTTTGGATTCATTTATATAAAAATTAATGAAAAATAACAAACATTTTATTTAAACAAAGCTGAATCTTAATCTAAGCAAAGAATACATTAAAACTATAAAAGGATATTTGAACAGTAAATAATCCATTAATAACAAATTGAATATAGAATAATTACATATGTTTTATAAGACATTTAATAATGCTGATGTATTAATGTTGAATAATTAATTATTAAGTTACTCCACTAATAAATTCAGCTGCATTCATAAAGCACTCAGAGAAGAATTAAAAGATCAATTTAATACATACTGAATATAATTTTGACCAATTTTTTGCAAAAATTATTAAAAATAAAGAAACAAATCCAAATTATTATACAAAATTTCTAAAAATGAAAGAATCTTCAAAATATTTTTAAGATACTAAATAAAAAGATTTGGTTCGTACATTAAGTAATGAAGAAATGTAATAAATATTATCAAATTTTATAACAGCTTATGTTATCAGAAATGCCTAGATTGGATATTGTTAAGAATTTAATTATATTGTTTATTACTTATTATTAAAGTAATAGTATTCAGAAGAAGTATTAATTAAATTAAAACAATAATTTCTATAAATAGAAAAACCTCATTAGATAGAACATTTAAAAAATACATCTGTAGAAACTAGTTTGCTTACAATTTAATGGTTGGTTTTTTATTTTAAATAAATATTAGTTTAGTATAATAATAAAAGCCAACTCATTTGAAAGAATGTAAATCTGTATAATATATTGCCTAACTTTCAAAAAATAACAATTTTATAAATATTGATTTTTAGTTTGATTAAAAATGAATAAATATATTAAATAATAAATATAAATTTACTTAAATATAAAATAAAATTATTATTCATGCTTATTAGTAAAAATTAAACTAGTGTTTTTTGATAAATAAAAATTATACTTTATCTGGATTTTTAGAATCAGTGAATGAAGTATGAATGGGACTTGAAATTCTATAAGGTGAATTTTATGAACTTGATTATTAAGAATAATTATGGCTAGCTTAAATTATTTAAATATAAATAAATACGTAAATATGAATTAATAGCAGGAGCAGGTAAGGCAAGCTATTGTTATTAGTTTGATCTATTAAATGAAAATAGGTTTGGATCAAATTGAAAGCAATAATCTTAAAATTCTAGAAATTATTGATAAACATAACATTAATTTTATCTGGACAAAAGAAAATGAATTGGACTGTTGGAAGAGTTGTAATGATAAGGTGATCCTAAATTGCTGTATTAGTTATTATTGTCATTATAAGGAACAAGATAATTCTATTCTAATCTACTTGGAGAAGGTTCTTCATAGGAGTATTTATAAATATCTCCTATTGAATTGGCTTAATAAATATTAGAGAATTATACAAAAATTAGGGATAGATGAGACAATCTTAAATAAAAGATAAGAAAGATTATCAAATTTTTTATTGAACTACTACTAAATTTGATTTAGACACTAAAATAAAAAAATGAATTTAAACCTACATAATAGTGAGACTAGAACGATTGGCAGAAGCATTTTATTCCATGGAAGCTTAGAAATCAACTTGCATTTAAAGCTATGTCGTTTAAATTTCTTTGACGACTTTTTTCATTTCATCATGCTCTTGCTTATAATTATCAATTTCTTGATTATTAGTGTTTTTAATCTCTATTTTATTTTCAGAATCTTCTTGATTTCTCCTACGAATGTATTAAAGCATACTTCTAGGAATATTATAGAATTATTTTACTTTAGTCCTTTCCTAAACCATTTATGCTTAAACTCACTTTATCCATAATGATTTTTAGTTTTTTTAAAGCTGTACATATTAAGTTATCTATTATAGAAAAGAAGATAACCTAAGAAAGCTGGGATAGTTTTTATGCTTGAAATAGTTTGCAAGAACCTTCGAAGCTAATTCATTAGAATTTAAGACAATAAATGCGTTGCCTTCTTGATTCCAAGTGATGATATGTGAGAGAGAGGGATTCTGAGTAAAAAATAATAGCTTAAAATGGTATACTTCAAGAATTTCATATGTTTTCAACAAGAAAGAAGGTACGTTGACTTTAAGTGGCGGAAGTTCATTGATGTCTTAATTTGACATTAAAATTTTAATAGGAATTTTCAAGAATATGAAAGCCATTAAAATAAAAATTAGTTGAATAATAAATTAAGATATAAATAATTATGATTAAAATATTGATTATGCATACATAATAATAATATAATTAATGAACGAAGCCCTTAAAACAATAGTTAAATTTTTGGAGTAATCTGGTCTTTAGTAATCAGCTCGTAAATTAAAGGAAGAAATAAGTATTTATTTAAGAATAAATGTTTAAGTAATGATGAAAAATGAAATTGAATGTGAGAAATAACAATAATAAATGCTAATGAGTACAAATATTTGAATTATTGGAAAGACATTATATGTTAAGCTTTAGAGTAGAAAAAGAAAGAAAAGAAGAAACCATTAGTTGACAGATAAGCAGTACGTAGAAAACCAAAAGTATTTACATAAGAACAAACAGAACAAATTATGGAAAAATTAATGAATAGATTAGTTTCTAAACCAAATTTATTAGAAGATGAAACTCTGAATGAAAAAATTGAACGTTATTTTGATAATGTAACATTCCAAAAGATGGTTGATTAAGCAGATGTATTTCATGATATTTCAAATTCTTCTATTTCAAATTCAATTCTCAAAAAAAAAAAGACTGAAACAAGTGAGGAATAATAATTATAATAATAGGCTCCTTGTTTTGGTAAATGTAATTAATATAGTTTTTATTATTATTTTAGAGATATAAGAAAGTGATTAAATAGTATTTGGAAAAATTTAATAACCTTTGTAACATTAAAAATAATAAGTTCTCGAAAAATCTCCATCTGTTGATGAATTATTTACAGAAGAGGATGTCTCAAGATCTGCTGCTAAACATTAATAATTTGAAGGTATAGATACAGCTAAAATGCCATCTATTATTAGACCTGAAAGTGGATGTAATGATTCATCATTCTTTCTTTAAAATTCATAATCATTTGTACTTCATGATATGGAAGAAAATAAAAATATAATTGATGAATATAATGATGATGATGATCCAGGATTTGATTTATATGAAGTTGGTGAAAAAGATTTTATTAAAGTGGCTAAATAATTAGCAGATAAATTTGGATTTCCTTAAAGAGCAATTGCTTAACTAAAAAAGAAAAAAGATGAGGTTAATTGTGAAAATGAAGATGACAGTGCAGTCTTATTAAAAAGTTAATAAAAATCTTAGGAAGAAAGTAGGAAAGGATATATATATTTACCTCCTACATTAAAACATCCAGATTCTACAGATGATTTTTATCCTGTAGAATTTGACAGGGTTATCTATGATTGTTTTAATCTTAAAGTTATTTTTGATAGGGAAAGAACTGGATTTGAAGAAACAAAAGATTTTCCTATTGTTATTAATTCAATAATTGCTGGACGATATCAAATATTAGAGTATTTAGGATCAGCTGCATTTTCCAAAGCAGTAAAATGTTTAGATTTACAATCATAAAAGGAAGTATGTATGAAGATAATTGAAAATAACAAAGATTATATGGATTAAAGTATTGACGAAATTAAATTATTGAGATATATAAATTGTAATGGAGATTGTGATGCTAAGAATGTACTCAGATTATATGATTTCTTTTATCACAAAGAACACTTATTTTTAGTTACTGAATTATTAAAAGATAATTTATATGAATTTTATAAATATTACAGAGAAAAAGAGAAAGTTAATTATTTTACAGTTGGTAGATTATAGAAAGTAATTAAAATGTTAAATTAATTTAGTTAACAAAATAAGTATTAATAGCTTTAGATTACATACATTCTCTAAAATTGATTCATTGTGATTTAAAGCCTGAAAATATATTAATGAAATCTATAAGTAAATGTGAATGTAAAGTAATTGATTTTGGATCATCATGTTTTATACACGATCATTTGAGTAGTTATGTTTAATCAAGAAGTTATAGAGCACCTGAAGTTATAATTGGATGCAAATATGATTATAAAATAGATATGTGGTCTCTTGGATGTATTTTAGCAGAATTATGGACAGGATATGTTTTATTTTAGAATGATACTGTATAAGGATTATTAGCAAGAGTAATTGGTATAATAGGTCCATTTCCAGAAAATATGTTGAAGGATGGTAGATTAGTTAATTAATTCTTCACAAAAGAGAAATTATTATATCAGGATGCTATGGAAGATTAATAATAACATTATCCTAATCCTGATATGTCAGATGCCTCTGTAAAAAGAAAAAAAACTGGATTAATATAAATATTGGTGCCTAAAAAATCAAATCTTAAGGCAAGACTTAAAACAGATGATATGTTCTTTTTAGATTTTGTAAAATAATTATTACATATAGATCCTACAAAAAGGTATTAAATGTTTATTTATTCATTAGGCCTTCAGCTAAAGATGCACTCTATCATCCATGGTTTACATAAGCATAATATCCTGATGGATTATGAATTATTAAACATAAATACATTTATTAATCATTCTTCTTTTTAATCGTCGCTATAAATTTCTAAATGTTTCTATGTACGATCAGATGGATATGTTATTGATAATCCAATCATAAGTATTCCTAATATACTCAATATTAAAAATGGCAGATAAGGATCTATAGTAAAAAGAGGGAAAAGAACATAAGGAGAAGGGATTGAAACTACTTTTCCTATTGCCATAGCTAATCCACTTCCTCTTGATCTTAAATGAAGTGGATAACTTTCACAACAAATAATAAATAAAGTTGAAAACATCCCTCTAGTTGCTATCTTTATTAAAAGCATTCCAACAAATAAAATAGATGCCTGATAAATATAAAGTAATAAATTTGTTATTACTAATAATATTGAAGCATAAATTATTATATTTACTCTACCTCCATATTTTGGATCATCTATAAATAAATAGATCACAAATGCAAATACAAATTCAATCAAAAATAAATATAACATATGTTCAAATCCTGAATTCTATTATGCAAATAAAAATGGCATCAATAAATATATACTAAGATTTTAAAAATTTGCTAATATTAACAAACTCCATAATTAAAGTGTAATTCTGATATGTTATTTTGATAATACTCCACTCTTTTCTTTTTAGTTATCTCTTATCATCATATTGTTTTATCTAATCTACCAATTTATTAACCCATCCTTTTCATTTTCATTCAAACGTTCTTAATTATTATTATTTTCTTTTTGTACTTCTTCAATCTCTTAAAAAGCAACAGTGTACAAACCTTTATTTAAATAATATCTGATGGTTTCTTTCAAATATATTATTGATAATATAAAACATAGTAAAACAGGTATACCATTAAATCTTATTAATCCTCTCCAATTACCTGTTGTATAATCTTCAAGAAAGAAAAAACATAAAAATACTAAATATGCTTTTCCTGCAACATACATTAAAGTCAATGAAAATGCAAATCTTCCTCTATATTTGGCCACAGCTACTTCAGTTATAAAAACATAACCTAAGGGACTTGTTGTACCAAATACTATTCCAAATAGTAATCTTAATATTACTATTTCATTATAAGACTCTGCAAAACTTGTATAATATACTAATATCACTGATAGTCCTGCAAATATTGAAAATGACGTTTTACGACCAATTTTATCAGTAATATAAGCACAAATACAATTTCCTATCACTACACCTGCCAGAAATGATGATCCTAATGTTGCAACTTGTGTTTATGATAATTACCATTCCTTTTATAATATTGCCATCAAAATTGACATAAAAACGTATTCTATACCATCACAAAATTCAATCAATCCAATTATACTAACTGTTCTAAGTTAATAAATTCCTGACCCTATCTTCTCTTCTAATATCTGATCAAATGAAATCATTCTATATTAATATAAATGATCTAAGAAAAAGAAAATAATATTTTAAATAAGTAAAAGTATATTGAAATTTATTCATTTTTTTTTAAATGTCTTCATTTAAGCCGGTTTTGTAGGTTTTAAGTATCGCTTACTTATGGTTTAATTTAATTAATTTGAAGAAGATGAAGCTTAATCAAGCATTTAAAAAGCTTTATACTCATTAACAAATATATAGAGTAATTCCAATTTACTCATTCCTTCTAATGGTATAGAAAGTTCTTATTTTTTAAGAGAGAGTAAAAAATCAAGTGATTAACTCAATCCAGATTATTGAGGATAGCCTTACATTAAGATTTACATTAATTCTTCTAAATGTTCACGAATGATAGTTTTGCATTCTTATTTTTCTTAACTTAAATAATATTAATTTTTTGCTAAACGAATTCCATTTAAAACATTTTAAACACTAGGCATAGCTTTAGATGATATTTGAACTTATTAATCTTCTTTTATTGGTTAAGCTTAAACTGAAACATCACATTGTTCAATAGAATTATTTAAAAGAGGGTTATTTAATTCCTTCTTTTTGGCTACAATAACATTTTTAACTAATTCAGACATAGTACGTTCATCTACTTAACCAGCAGCAATATTTAGTAGACAATCAAAATCAATTTTATTCACTTATTATTATGAATTGATTTCTTCTTTATAACAAAAGGATTCATCATTGGCTTATAAATCTTCATTAGTTTATCCTATTTAATAAATTTCTTTGATAGATTTTGGTAGTTTTATTCCAACTGTTTAATCAGATAATGGTCTTTTATTAATTACTTTGAAATCATAATTATTTGAATCAATCTATTTTATTTCTTTAGTAGAAATTTAATTTTACTATTTCTTTTCTGTTAGTTGATTCTATTTGTTTTACTATTTTAATTGATTGAGAAAATAATTTGGTTGTTTTTTTAGAGTTAGAAAATTCTCAGATCTCTTAATAGCTTTATCTAATTAGTTATGCAATTAGTTTGATAAATTCACATTATTGATTTCTGGTTTACTAACAATATTTAATTAAATTAAAGGTTAAATCAATGGTTTAGCCATTAGATCTAAGGATATATTATAATTTTACACATTTCTTTATCAAAATCAGTTTAATAAGGACGAACAACATGAATTTATTTTTCTTAAATCTATGATTAATTTTTAAGTTCAACATCATTAGAGATTGTTAGTTTTTATCTTTCTATCTATTGTATTAAATTATTTTGAAATATGTTTGATTTAGTAAGGAATTGTTATAATTTGTGCATTCGAATGTCGTTCATTTATTATTAAATTAATTTTTGTGGTAAATGTAAGGAATATTACCTACATAATGTCGAGATTTTATGAACAAGCAATATTGGTAGAGATTCTTTAAAAAGATAAAGAAAGAGGGTTAATAGAATGAATATTTTGAGTGGTATGGCAATTATGATAGCTATAATCATTTGTTTAAAAAATATATCAAAGTTGAAGATAGTGTTTTTCATGCAGGTTGTGGTAAATCTCTCTTATCAGAATAACTTTATGATAATGGCATATGTAAAAATATCATTAATGTTGATTATGAAAAAATTGTAATTATTTATTATTAAGCTTTTTTAGTCACTAGATTAAATGAGAAAGAGATCTGAAAATAAGAGACCTGAAATGTAGTTTTAATGCATGTCTTTAACTGAAGAAATAAATATTTAATCAGAATAATTTGATATTATTCTTGATAAAGGAACTCTTGATGCTATTTTTCCAGATGAAGAAACTCCATAAGTAAATACTTATTTGGCTAATATGTTAAGAATATTGAAGAAAAATGGAAAGTTTATTATTATTTCACTTTTACAGGATCATATTCTTAAAACACTTTTGTAACTGCAGTATAATATTGAAATTTATGAATGTATTATTGAAAAAAGCAAACTTTATCCATTTTTTATTGTCATTGATAAAAACGAGTAAAAATCTATTTAATTCCATTAATTATAAAAGGAAGCTCAGACTTTAACCATTAAATAAGCATAAGAAATTATTAAAAAAATATAATTACAAAATCATTTTGTTACTTCAATTCATAAATTAAGATAAAGTCAAAGTTTCACCTTAGATATTTGGGATAATAACAATAAATAAACTCCAAGATACAAATTAGATATCTATGACAATGATGATAGTAAAATATTATTATAGAAAACTTGTGGATGTTTTATTGTTCCTTAAGGAAGAGAACAATCTTTTTTATTTGGAACTGAATAAGGTCATAAAGAATTAATAAAATAAATGAAAATGTCAAGATGTGTAATAGCGCGTATGAATCCTGGTCATAAATTCAATAACATGAAATAAGTCTAATAAGAATTATCTGAACCTATGTAATAATTAATACCAAAAGGGTGTACTAATATACCCTGTCCATTTTTAACTGATGGAGATGAAATTGGTGAAAAAAATATAATTTTTGAAGCTGATGATTGTTTAGTAGAGGAACTTAATATTGATGATGTTAAATATAGAAGACTAATAATAAAAAGTGCTTTAGATTTAATTTAGAGTGAAGCTAAAATTATCAATAATAAAGTCGATAATTCATATTTAGATTTTGAAGCTTATGTAGCCATAGTCGCAGGATTAGCTTTTAATAAAGCAAAAGAAGTTCTTATTTTGGGAGGAGGTGTAGGATTATTGAGTAGATTTATAAATGAACATTTTGGAGTAAAGGTTACAAATATTGAATTAAGTGAAGATATTGTAAATGTTGCTAAATAATTTTTTGATTTCAAAAACACAGATTCTGAAAATTTAGTATGTTGTGATGCACTTGATTATGTAGATTAAATTTTAGAATGTCATCAATATGATACTGTTATAATTGATATCAATGGTAATTTTATTATTTATATATTATAGCTTCTTAAGCTAATTAATTGTCACCACCTAAATAGTTTTTGTCATCTGATTTTTTAAATAAACTAAAAACATTGCTTACACCATAAGGAATTATTATAATTAATATATTGGATTCATAAAAAGAATTAGTTTAATTACCATGGGATTTGTATTATTCAAGGAAGTGTGAAAATGAAATTAATGAAATATTTTATTTAATAAATGCTTAAAAGGAAAAGAAGTAATTAGATGGAAAGGAAATCGATGTTATTGATAAAGGTCTCTTAGATGCTATCACCTAATAATTAAAGGAATCAAGAGTAAACTTTTCTAAAGGAAAATGGGATAACTCTATGAATTTAGCTAATGAGATTGATAATATAAAACTAAAGCATCCTGTTTTTAAGACATAAGCATTTTAAACTTAAGATGCATTACTTATTTAAGATGGAGAAGTTATTAATAATCGTAAAGATTTTTATTAAGAAGATTTAAAGAAGGTATAAAAGAAAAAGCATAATAGACGTAGAAAGAATTGATTTTGCTTTATTTTTATTGTTTTTTAATATCAAATTTATAAGAAAGAGAATTTCTAGTAAAAATTTATTTAAATTAAAAAAAGATTCAAAATGGAAGAGAATACAATCGATTGGGATAAAGTAACAGCTATGGATAAGTATATATTTAATATAGTTGAAGTGAGACTCTTCTTCAATTTGCAAATGATCTTTATGAAGCTCTACATCTCGAATAAGCAAAGTCTGCATATTAGCTTTACCTTAAAAGAAACCATAAAAATATAGAGGCTTTAGATTAATACACAGATTGCTTAGAATAGATGGGTCTTGTAGAAGAATTATAAGCAGCTCTAACTCCATATTTGAATTAATAAGAGTTAATCACGTATATCCACAAATTAAATTCCTAGTTAGTATGAACATTGTTACAAGTTATTATTTAAATATGCACAAACTTAATAAGGAAAGTAGGCTATTTAGATATATGAGTATGGAATTTAGTTGGCTTTATAAAGAAATGCTTCTATGAGAGATATTGGAGATGCTTATGCTGCGATTGCTGAAGTTTATTAAACAGATTTATTATAATTTAAAGAATCAGAATAAGCTTGCATTGATGCAATTAATAATGCTTTTAAATATGATTCTTTGAATTTAGATGCTTTTCTATAATTAGCAAATTTCCATCTTAATAAGGAAGATGAGGAAGCCGCTAAAAAAGATTTGAGAGTTATTTATGAAAAGCTAGAAATTGATATGGAAGATTATGATGAGGATTTTATCTTATAAGTTGGAAAGTTGCTTGTAGAAGTAGAGTTATTTGATTAATCCATTAAAATATTGAGAATGCTTGTAGATAGAAATGCAGAAGATTCAGAAAGTTTGTATATGCTTGCATTTGCATTATGGAAGGCATAAAAATATGAGGAAAGCTTAAAAATAGTTAATGGAATTCTTTAATTACCTGATGCAAAAGATGATTAAGTATTTAATTTTCTATATATTAGGAAATTTGGACAGCTACTTTAGAGTTAAAAGACCAATTAGAAAAAGAAACATGGATGGATGTAGAAGATGAAGAATAAAATGAATTGCAGAAGTTGTAACAACTTGAATGATTTTCTTTTAATTTATTAATGTTTTATAGTAAAGTATATTGTAGTATAATACTTATTAATATTATTTAGATTTTTATATTTAAAATGAAAATTCAAATAAATATAATTTTAGTAAATATCAGGAAAAAGTTATTATTAACTCAAAAAAGATGGCAGCTGAAATTCTTGATAGTATACCTTTAGATTAAATCTATCAGATATCTTATCTATTATAAAGAAAAAAACAAAGAGGTATGATCATAAATTAGATAAAATTATAACATAAATAGTAATAAGAAGTACACTAGGTAGGAATCAGGATTTAGAGTTAAAGCTAATGTATGAGTTTAGAACTACCTTCAAAGATTTATAAGATCGATATCGAATTCAATATATCACATATTATTTTATAGAATATTTTTTTAATTTGAATTTTCAATATACTGAAATAGATTATTAGATGAAATCTGATGATTCGGTAAGTTCTTATAAAGTTATCTTATCAAACGATATTGGAAATTAGATGAAAAAAACATTTAAAGTTTAAATTGGAAAATATATTGATGTTTTATGATGAATAGAAATAATCAAATCATCCTTTAAATCGAATTCAATTACTTGATATAATCTTCCAAAATTCACTCTATGAAACCTTGAAACAACTTTTATTGATGAATGTTTAGTTAACTCTTTTAGGTCATGTTTTTAGAGAAAATTATTAGCTACTTAAGTTGACATAAAACTAAATGATAATTTATATAATGAGATTTGCTTAAAAAATGCAATCCTTAGATTTTGTTGTCATTTTTGATAGTTAAACTAAAGTTAATTAAAAAGGATAGTAAGTAATATTTAGTGAAGATTATGAAAAATTGAAATTTAAAATTAATACAAAAAATGGATATAGATTTATTTAAATATTTTATTTTAGATCTTTTTAATTTATTAATGATATACATTTTTCAGAATATATTAATAACAATAATAATGGTGAGTCAGTTATTTATTCAATAATTAAATGAACCTTATTCTTTAGATCCATTTTAATCTGTTTCGTAAACCCCATTTTTAATTTTATTAATTTTATAATTATTATTAGAAATCTATTGCTCAAATATCAATTCATATATTTGTCTGTACTCTGTAACAAAATATAAATTCAGACCTTTGATAAGTTATTGAGGTAAATTTAATGCCTCACCTAAATTAGAATAAGGTAGGATAATGTCAACTATGTCTAATGTTTTTGCAGCAATTAACTTTTGTTACAATCCCCCTATAATATAATAAAATAGATACCTATTTTACAAACTTATCCATTTAATGAAATTTCTCCAGTCATTCCTAAATTACTAGGTACTACAAAATTCATGAGTAAACTTAATAGAGCTGTCGTAATAGCAATTCCTGCAGATGGTCCATCTTTAGGAGTAGCTCCTTCAGTAAAATGCATATGTATTGCAGATGTAGAGAATTTTTATTTTTATTCTTCATTCAAAAATTTATATGCATTAATTTTGGCTAATTTAAGTGATTCTTATAACACTAATTTGATATTTCCAGAGGCCAATATTTATCCTTTCTTATCTTATTCACTTAGATCAAAACAAGTTTCTACAGTTAAGACATGTCCAATCATTCCACCAACTGTTAAAATATTAATTTATCCTGGTGGAAATTTCTTAACGGATCTCTATTCTAATTGAATATCAAAAATAGGAGGACCTAAATATTAAGATAATAATTCTAAATTTTAATCTTTAGTCAAATCTAAATTTTAACTAGTAGGATCAAAAATAATTTAATTTTGATCATCAACCTTATCACAAAGATTAGGATTAGTTGTTAATAAGTTTGTAGCATGTTTTCTAGCAATCTTTTCTAAACATCTTTTTAATTCTCTAACTCCACTTTCTTAATAACACCAAGCCTTAATAATTTTAATTAAAGCTTATTCATCATATTTAATCATTTAGGATTTTATACCATTTGATTCAATACTTTTATGCACTAAAAAATTAGTAGCAATAGATAATTTCTCTTCTTATATATAAGCTTAAATATCAATAGTTTCTAATCTATTTTTTAATGGTTCTAACATTTAGAGTGTATCATTAGAAGTTAAAATAAAAATAACATGTGAAAAGTCAACACTAATATCCATATAATGATCAGTAAAATTATGATTCTCTTCTGGATTCAATATTTCTAATAAAGTGTAATAGGGATCAGCGCCCCCAGCTTGATGTTTGGATACTTTATCCAATTCATCTAAAATAAATACAGGATTCATTGTGTTTGATTTTATTAATTCTCTTATAAATACTCCAGGCATTGAATCTACATATGTACGCTTATGTCCTTTGAAGAATGTAGGATCTGCTACACCCGCACAAGAAATAAATCTCGACGTTCTTTTTAAGGCTTTAGCAATACTCTTGGCTATTGAAGTCTTTCCTGTTCCTGGGGGACCATTTAAAAGAAGAATAAATCCTTTTGCTTTTTAGCCTGCATTTTTCAATTTATTTACTGAAATCATTTCTATTATTCTCTCTTTGACTTTCTCTAGACCTTCAATTTCCTTATCTAATACATCTTTTGCAAATTGGATATCCCATTAAACAGGCTTATATATAAATAAATAATTTACTGTAAATTTTTAGAACGGAATGCTAAATACTTCATCCAAATAAGAATTAATCTTATGAAATTCAGAACTTTATTTATCTAATAAACTAAATCTATCAATCTCTCGTTTAACTTTATCTTTAGAAGATTCATCATTTATTAATGATAATTTATCATAGTACTTTTTTACTAATGATGATTACTTTAAATTAATTGTAGAAACAAGTACCTTATCACCACCATATTATTAAGTTCCACCCTATCCTCCTCCTTATGATTAAGATTATACAGCTTCTTTTAAATAATTCTATCTAATGTATTCTATTGCTAATTTTGCTAATGTTTATTGATGTAACTTCAAAAGTGATGAGTCAGCTTCTTTGAAATGCTTATTTACTAAATCAAGTACTCCTGACATATTTTCTAATTATTTTCTAAGAATAAATAATCTATCAATATAAGTTTAACTTTCCAACAATTATTACACAAAATTTGATGTATTCATTTTCAAATTATTAGACTATAATTTAGATAGACCTGAAGCAATTTAGAATACTAATTCATCGACTTAATTTGGAGTAAGTTTTTCACTTGAATCCAATAAGGAATACTTAACTTCTGAAAATACTTCAACTCTATCATATTAAGCTAATTTTCTTATTTATTGTACAAGAGAACTCACCATACGAATTTCATGTTATATATCAATTATTTATTCTGCTTATGTTAATGGACGATCTTTATAAGGGATTCCTTGTGCAAAAATACCATCAGGAGTCATTTCTATTTTAGTAATTTTAAATCGATAATTTTTCTAAATATTTGATTCTCATACTTGTCTTGATATTATGTCTAAATTAAATGTATTGCTCATTGGATCATTTATCAAAATGTTACCATTTGCATCTCTTTATTCTAAGAGCTTTAATTCGGCATTTAAATTCTTTTCAACAGATTTATTTAAAGCTATGCCTATTGTAAAAATCTCTCCATTATCAGGTGATATAATAGAATACAAGAGAGGTTTAGTAATTTTTTTTAAATTCCCTATTTTGATCTGACAATTCATAGAATTGTTTGGAAAAATAGGTTGAATCGAACTAAAAAGACAAAAATCAGTTGGCTCTATTTTAGAATCAATTTCATTCAAATCTGCTTTATAATTCTACAATGGAATAGTTTTGATTTTATTATTTTAGAAATGATTTGAATCTAAATAATTAGTCCATATAATACTTGCACTATACTTAAATAACGACTTCTATCCTAATGTAGGTAAAACTCTTGTAAACCAAAGCTAAGGACGCTTAAATAAGATTTTGCTTAGACTTCTCATTATGTATTATTTTTAATTAAGAGTTGAGTTTATATAAACTTAATATAAAAATTACATTCCAGTTATTTCTAATTTCTCAAATAAGTGAAACATAGCTGTTTTAAAAGATTTAATGTATATAATTAGGAAAGCCAATAAATATTCATAATAAATTTGTTTGATTTTTAATTCATAATTAAAATTATGCTTAGAAACAACGGCTCTGTTGCCAATATATAGTAAACGTAATCTACTACATCGTTGCTATAAGCATTGGTCAACTCAAGACCTAAATCGTCTTAAAAACGAATCCCGTCTGCTAAAAATACAATAGTACAATAAAAAAATATCCAACGATGTGATCCTAAATTAGTATTACCAGAACCTCCTAAATCAACTCGTACTCTTGACAGTGATAAAAAATAATAACCATAACAATAAAAGAAACTTACATTAATTCAGAGAACAATGATAAATAAACCCTAAGAACGTTAACGAATCAATAGTTCAGGATAAAAAGAAGTACCTAAAGAAAAAGATGAGTCATAATAAACTATTCCTGACATTGAAATTTCTAAATAAGTAACTGTATTTGCACTTTCAGAATAAGATTAAAATACTTCTGAACCAAAACATAATACTCCATTACTAACCACTCAAACATCTGTTCCTTTATCAAAATATGTTATGCGTCTCTCTAAGGGTGCTAATATCATTCCTAAAAAATAGTAGGATCGAAAAAGAATGAATAGTCCAGTCAGAAGAGCTACTAAAGAAAATATTTATTCACCTGTCCCTACTATGAATAAGGAAACCAAAATTAAAATGAGAAGTGTCTCTCCAGATAGAAGATTAATGCCTAAATAAAGCTTAGGACCTTCATCTCCTTATAATGATTTCGAATACTACATGAGTTTCTTAAGATACTTTCATAACAAATAATCTAAAAATGAAATCAAATAATTATTTAACCAAAAAAATAACTAATACTTTTTAGACATTTACCAAGATCATTTTTAATAAAGCTATCACGCCCTTCAATATTGCAAAGATATTGTTAAACCATCATCAAACACTATTGCTAATAAGATTGTCAACCTACCTGATAATAAATGTAATTTTCTAAAATTTATTTAGTTAAAAAAACCATTATTTTTGATTTAGATGAAACCTTGATTCATTGTTAAGAATCTAATGATGATCCATCAGATACTGTGCTAACCATTAAATTTCCTACTGGAGAAACAGTTCAAGCAGGAATTAACCTTAGACCCTATTGCAGAGAAATGTTGGCCATACTGAGTCAAAAGTATGAAATCATAGTATTTACTGCTTCACATGAATGCTATGCCTAAAAAGTTATTAATTATATAGATCCAGAGAAAAAATGGGTTCATCATCGATTTTTTAGAGAAAGTTGTGTTGTCGTAGATGATGGCCTTCATGTTAAAGATTTGAGAGTAATAGGCAATCGAAATATCAAAGATCTAGTTTTGGTAGACAATGCTTCTTACTCATTTTGTTTTTAAATAGAAAATGGTATTCCAATCATTCCTTTTTATGATAATGGTTCTGATAGAGAATTATAATATCTAACCTCTTACTTGCTTGAATTGATGTAGGAATAAGATATTCCTGCTAAGAATTTATAGAAATTTAAAACCAATTTATATTAGGAATCAACTATTGAACATCTATTAAATACTATTTGATCTATATTATATCAACATTATATAAATTAATGATTAAATTTTATATGAGTACTATATCAAAGCTAAGAGCCAAAAGAAATCTAATAACGATTGTATTTTTATTCTAATTTTAGAGTGATAAAGCAGCAGAAAGAATCACAGAACTTATGAAATAATAGAATAATCCTGATCTTGATGCAGTCAAAATAGGTGTGAGGAAACGAGGTTGTAATGGATTATCTTATACAATGAACTATTGTTCTGGCCCAGATAAATTAGATGAAGTAATCGAATCTAAAGGTCTTTTTTTCTAAAACCCTAGGTGTCAAAGTTATTGTTGATTCCAAAGCAGTCATGGTCTTGGTTGGAACTGAAATGGATTATGTTGAAGATGACATTAAAAGTGAGTTCGTTTTTAAGAATCCAAATTAAAAAGGCCAATGTGGTTGTGGAGAGAGTTTTCATATTTGACACTAATAATATATAAAATATTTATAATATCATAATGAAATAAATATTAACATATACTATCATATTTAAGAAGCTTCAATTGACATTAAACGCAGAAATAGCATTCAACGTTGAAATTAAAAGTCTAGATAAAAATCTGTCCTTACTTAATTACATGAAGATTAATCACTAATACGAATAATATATGGAAGTGAAGTGCACTGTTAAAAAAGTTAATCTCAAATACGAAGAAAAAATTGTAAGTTTGAAGCACTTATTGTATATAAGAGAAAACTTAATATAGTTTTAAGTGATGGAAAGACAAAAAAGATTGCCGGTTTTGCATTATTCGACATGTCTGTTGCTCTCAATCTAAATATGAGATAAAAGGAATATTCTATCAATCTAATTTAATGTCCTGACACTAAAGCTTTTATTGAATTTACTTTGCTGATCAATTCATTAGATTTTTTGTACAATAATAACGATATAGATGTACTCAATCAACTATAACAAAAAGTCTATGACATCAAGAGCCTTGAGCCAAAATGAAAGCGAAGAATTAAGAAAACTTAAACAAGAAAATGTTTAACTAGAAAACGAATTAAATAAAGTAAAATAAGATTTATAGATTGTTGAAGCTTAATATTAATTTTTAGGTCGCTAATACAAATAGTTATAATTATAATTAGAAGATAAAACGACTGAAAATAGTGATTTGTAATATTAAGTTTAATAATTATGCAATTTGAATTCAGTTTGTATTGAGAAAATCAAATAATTCGAAAAACTGCTTTCCAATTAAGAATAATAAAAACAAAAGTGAATTTTTGCTATTTAATTTAATTCTTAATATTTTATTTCTTAAGAAATTACTATGAAAGGAAAATATTTCACAACACTTTATTTTCATTGTTTCAGAGAGGCGTGATGAGGCTTAAAAAAATATTTTTCAAACATCTTCTGCCTAAATTCTTAAGAAAAGATTATTTCTTTTTTAATTTGATTAAAAATTTTAAAAAAGTTTATATATCCTGCTGTTTAGAAATAACTTTAATTAAAATATTTATAAATTAGATTCTCATGAATTGGATAAACTTAAATAAGAAAAAAATTTGATTTTTATAAATCAATCTTTAAAGGAAATTCCTCTTCTTTCAATTAAAAATTGACGAAAACTAATAAAAGGTCCATGAGGTGCATTAATTTCAATTTCTCTATTAAATTTTTCATATAAATTTTAAAATCTAGTAGGATCATAGATTGTTCCAATTTAATCTTTAGGAAGTCTTCTTTTCACTTCATTCCAATCAATAGGTTTATTTCTAATAGGTCTACTGCTAACTAACTTTTAAATATTGACACGTTTTTCTTAATGAGATGTATAAAGACTTTTGAAGATTTCATTTACTTATTATTTCTATTTTTCATATTCGCTAAGATTTTTTTATTAAGGTTAGACTTAATTATTCATTTATTAGGCTTAATTCACAACCTTAATTCCACATTTATTATGAATAGTTGTTAGATCCTCTTCATATTCAAATTATAATTTCTTTTTTACAAGAGCAACAGAAACTGATCTAAATTTAGGTTCGGATCTATTATTTTGCTATATCCTTGCTTGCTCCACTATTCAAAATATTATTATCTATAATACATTATTCTATCACTATTTCGTAATATAGTGTCTTCTTCTTTTTCTTCCTCTCTTTAAGAATTAAGCTTAGTTTTTTCAAATAAATCATCAATAGACTTAGTTCTAAAATCTTTTTTCAATCTAATTCTTGGTAATTAGATAATCTTTGCTGATTTTCTTGTGTAATGTTATTTCCATTTAGAATTTAGATAACTCATAAAATTTTATTTAATAAATACTTATTTTATAGAACATATATTTAGAAGTAATTAAATAAGTTTTATTAACATTCAAGCACAAAGGTAATATAAATTGTCTGAATAATAGAGAGAAAACTCTTTTAAAATAAAATAATTAAATTTTTTTCAGATTATACTCATAAAAGATTTTGGAGCCAAAAACAACTAAAAAATTAAGATATTCTCTTATATTCAGAAATTAGAAGATTTGCTCGAGAGAAAGAGGGAAATAAGATAAAAATAATTATAAGTTTATAGGAATAGGATAATTACCAAAAGAGAAAATAAAATTTTTTGAACTAACAAGGTACAAAATTACTATAATATGTTCTTATTAAAAAATTTCTTTTTAAATTAGAAAAATTAAAATCCTATAAAATTGATACACAAAATAAGAGTATTTATTAAAGCCCTTCACTTATTAAAGTTTTACATTTATTTCTATAAATTAATAATTAACTACTCATTAAGCCATTATTTTTGACTCTTTAGACCAAGAAAACTTTTGAAAAACTACTATTTCTTATAATTTGAAGAAAACTTCTTATAATAAATAATAAATGCTTAATGTGATAAACTACTCTTTCATTAAATGAGCATTAGTTAGTAAGGATAGGATTAATGATGTTGATAGAAAAACTACTTGGTATCTTTTAAATTTTAAAATTAATTTAGCTTTCCTTCCAACTGAAATAAATCCTTCTCTTATCAACTAGTAAGTGTGGATTGAACAATAAATCTCTATCAATCAAAAAGAAAAAGAAAATAAGGAACGAGTAAAATTAAATGGCAACAAAAGAGCCTTTTTATTTCATGTAAAGTTCATTTTAAATTTTCTTATGTGATTTAGTTATAAGTTAAGAGAATCAAAAAAATATTATATAAAATAAAGAAGAATTAATTAAATCAAATTTTAAAACCAAGATATTCTGATAAACCTGTTGGTCGAAGTTTTGGGAGGGAATTTTAATTTTATTTTTTCATAAACTAATCACTATTATCTTTAAATAATTATTTAAAATAATTAAGATTTTCTTCCTATCTTTATTACATAACTATCATTTTATCTAACTTTTAAATAAGACAATTTCTATCCTAATTATAAAATTCATATTACTTTCATTTTATTTGAATCTTACTAATATTATTATATATTTGTAAATAGCATTTTATTTTATATTTCTAATTATTCAGATTTATTTTAAAGTTTGATTATTTGATAAGAAAGTTTGTCTAATTGATTTTCTAATTGTTTTTCTTTTAAAAAAGCACTTGCATTTAAAATAAAATCATTTACTCCTACTTTTCTAGGAGTTAATGAATTGTTATCAGTTCTATTCCTTTTTGTCCAAATTTAACTAATGTGACTGACATGATTTGATTTTTTCTAAGTGCTATTAATTTCTTCATTTGATTTCCTTAAACTTAAATCCTAAGGTTAAACTTCTCTTTTCAAATTAAAAATATTTAAACTTTATTATACTATTTCTCTATGACTTTGAGAGCCTCCACCAATTGATCGGGAAATTTGTTTGACTTTTTTAGCTCCATTAATTTTTTCATGTTTTTCGTAATATCCATTTTATTATTTATTTTCTAGCTTCGATTGAGTTAATTTTTACAATAATTCTTATGATAAGGTATTTGCCTATCGAAATTTTCTTGGTGTCTTTATATGATAAGAATTGCTTTTTTACATTATGTTGAATTATTTATTATTTAATATAACAATCAGAAATTTAGGAAATCAAAAGCATTTTCTTTTGGATTGGTTTATTGCTTTTATTTTGGCTATTCTTATGTAAATTATGTTTGCTAAACTAAATTATATTGTTATTGTTAGATGTTATATTGTGTAAATGCTTAGGAAAAATTAGGTTATCCTAAAGAAGCTGATTATTATACATTATACAAATTTTATGGTTATGCAGATTAAATATTAGAAACTTACTGTTGATTTAAGGCTGGCTACTGATATATTTACTGAGGTGTTTGCAATAAAAGTGTATTTAATTATGGTTATTCTTATTTTTAATATTAAGGTTACTATTATTAAGATTATTATTGTTGATCTTTTTTTAGAAATCCAAAAGCATTCTTTTTTTATTGTGGTTATTATGCTGTTTGAGATAATTATTAAGTATTTAATATTTCATCAAAACTAATAGCTCCTTATTAGGATTATTATTATTATTATTATTATTATTATTATTATTATTATTATTATTATTAGTATTATTATTATTACTAGTTTTAATTATAATTTTGTAATGAAATTTCATTAAATGCCTCTAGTAAATTTATTTGATTAGTATTTTATTAACTCTGTTAATATTATTGTTATTATTATTATTGAGATTGCTATTGTACTTAAGGTTATTTTATTTTTAGCGATTTTAAATCAAGTTTTTATTGCTGTTGCTATTTTTATTAATTATCATTATTTCCAATTTCAATTAGATTTATTTATTATTATGTTATATTTTATTATGGTTTTGGTGGTTCACGAAACTCAAATTAAAATTCCTTAAAATAAATATTATTATTACTTTTTATTTTTATATCTATTATCCATTAATCTCTTAAATAGTTTATTCTATTGTTGATTATAATATTTGTTAATCTGTGTCAATTTTTAAATAATTCTGATTAATTTAAAAGAAATCTCTATAGTTTTAATATTGCTAACTAATAAATTAAATTGCATATATGCATCTCTAAAAAAATAGATTGAACTTTTTACTATTTGAACTTTCCAATTTTCTTCACTGTAGAGTTTATTCAAAAGAATACTACCAATCAATTATTCTTATAAAGTTTAGCAAGCTCTGGCAAATTCTTTTAGTACTGCATCACTTTATTTTAATTTAATGCCCCCTAATTTAATTACTTCATCTACTAGGTGAAATTCAAATTCACTAAAATATTATAGAATAAACATACAATCCTCCAATTTCTAATTCTTCATAAGTTAACAGTTATCCTATTTTATACTCTGTCACCCTACTTAATTAAATGTTATTATTGAATGTTGATAATGGTGGTATAATATCCACATTTGTTTTGTTTTCAATTTTCTTAGGTGGAGTATCATTAATTAGATTGATAGTATTAGTTGGTTGTGTGGATTAAATTTATTGTTATTACTATTGTGGTTAAGGTTCATCATCCCAGCCTAAAATACAAATTTGTAAAAACCTCCTCCAGGTCTTCCTTTTAATCTTGGCTAAGTAGTTTGGGGCAATTAAACAGCTGGAATCAAAGGAGGCTAATAAGTTCCATTTTATTAGCCAAATAAAGTATTCTCTATTTTGATTCCTGGTGGTACATCATTTTAAGGTTGCTTTCTAAATTTATTAAGAATAGATGACATTTTCAATATTAAAATCAATAGCAATAAATTTAAAATGATTAATCTATATTATACTTCAGTATTAAACAGATAATGTTTATATATATAAGTTTAGAAAATAAACTAATAAATAACTTGAATATAGATGTAATCACTGTGTGATCAAAAAATTTGAGCTTTATTCTTTTTATTTTTTGTTTCAAATTTTCTGGAAAAATTAAATTTTCTTCTGGTTAAAAATTTCAAACTCTCCAAAGGAGCCTTGCCAATTGTATTCATCTTTTTAGTCATATTATTCTAAATTTTTTGTATTTAAGAATCTGAAGGATACATTTTAGAAAATTATTCTTTTGCACTTTCTACCTAAAGTATATAGAATAAAGAATACCTAAGTGATAAAATCACCTATTTAATTTTTTACTTCTAAACTAAGGCTATGATGACTAAAATTATTAGCTTAATTTTGTAATCTCATAATATTATTTTAGTAGCTTTTAAAATAATGTATATCTTCTAAGTTCCTATCTTCTCTAAGAGAAACAAAAGATCCTGGTTTAATTTCTGGCAAAGTTGCATGACTTAATTAATGTAAGGCTCCAATCCTTTTTCCATTTTGATGTTAGTTATGTGTATTAATTGTTGGCAATTTTACATCTTTACTTATACTTCGACTTTTGATGAGGATTTATTTAGAACTTCTAATTTCCACAGAAGATGGATGTTGTTATAATTCTCTTAGTTATTATTGTTATTGTTTTAAAACTTTGGGATTAGGTGGCTATGGTATTCTATTTCTATATAACATTTTAGTTGTTTTTTCAAGAAGTTATAAGACTTTTTAAGATTATTCTTTAAATTTCCTTTCTGCCTTTATTGTTAATTCATCTTTTCCAAAATCTAATTAGACAATTTATGGCAATTATTATTCAGAACCTACAGAGTCTCTATGTCTTTTTTTTTCTTTTTCATATTGCTTATCTATTTCAGATTAAGCATTTTTTTGATTTATATCTGTTATTAATTTATCTATTCCAGTGTAAAATTTTTCATTTGTTGATCTTACTTCTTCTATTTCTTCTGTTTTCTAATGAAGTTTTTCTTCAAATTTAAGGTAGCCCTCAATATTAGGTTTAGTCCTATATTTTTAAGTTTTTGCAATATATTTTTTACTTTTCTACACAATTTCTGCATAATCAAATAAATCATCATTATCACTATCCGATGGACTACGTTTGAATGACTTAAACACTTTTTTATTTGTTTTTTTCTTTTATTAATCATTAAGATTCTTGAGAAACTGTTTAACATCAATAAATGTATCCATATTTGCAAAATCTTTCATTTTATTCTCAAAATGTTATTCTTTTGATATTTTACTAATTTTCATCTTTTTTCTTTCATTTTGAAGTACTTTATTGATGTTCTCACTTACTAACCTATTTTCTTTATAAAAGATATATAATTACTCTTTATTGTTTCTTCTTCATTACCTGAATCATCTGTACCTATTTATTTGGTCCCCTTTTTTTTGTCTAATTAAGCTTTAACAAATTTATAAAAATCTTGCTCAAAGTCAAGCATAATAATTAATATTCATATTAAAAACATTAAAACTTTCTTATCATTATAGATACATCAATCTAATAAATATTTAAAGAAATTTTAGATGGATAAACAGTATGTGTTAATACTATTGATTTATAATTATATAATGTATTTTGGAAATATTATAAATCACAATATGACCATTTTATTTTCATTTCTAACAATAAACTTATTGAAGTCGCTAGTTTTAGAAGGAACAGTTGATATCCATTTACTTTTTTCCAAACTACAAAATTGGAAATATATAATTACTTTAAATTTGAATCAATTTTTTCTTTTAATTAATCATAAGAATCTATAATTTCTGATTGCCTCATATTTGTAATAGTTTTGTCATCTTATTCAAGCTTAGTAAGCCAATCATTTTAATCTATGACATTAATTTGAGGAGGTTTATCTTCATCACTATCATCATCTGTCATTTAATCATCTAATTCTTTTTCTGCCATTATAGTAGGACAATAGAATTCTATTTATTCATCAAAACCAAAATCATAAGCCAATTACATATTCTTATCTTAGTAATAGAATTAATCCAAAGGAAGTTCGTATATGAGATTTAAATTCTAATAACCAGGAGTTCTATTAATAAATTCCTGTTTTAAAATTTAATGATTCTAGGCAATGTCTGGATCTAAATCAGCTCCGATTCCATTAACTTTACTAAACATTAAAGGATAATATGTATTCAAAGAAGTTCCATCATTAAATTATTGATACAATTTTAGTGTCTTATGTGCCTTAAGTATTTAATAGCTTTCAACTTCAGGAGGTTTTTAGTATATGTTTCTGACAATATTATCATTTTAAGTTTAAAGTATTTATGTTATTGGACCCATTATACCTCTTATAGATTTCTCTTCTTCTGCTCCATCCCTTAAAGGTTTATCAATAACTGGTGGATGATACACAATTTAAGGGTATTCCCATACTTTATATTACATAATTTCACAATCATCACTTGGTAATTCATCAAAAGGAACTAGATCATCAAATCCAGTTTAAGGAGTAATTGTATATTTAAATTAGGAATTGGTATTTGATTCAGAATACTGAACTGGTAATTTCAAAAATCCAATATTTGCTGAACTGAATTCAAAAGTAAATTTAACCTAAAATATTAATTCATTATTAATACAAAATCTTTTTTACCAACTCCAGAATGTTCTGCTTTTTAACAATCCAAATTTACTAGTTATTTGACTTCATCTCTAGTTGTTGCTCCTTTTAAAAATGTTTTCAGTTTTAATAATCTTTTTTCCATTCTTAATTTATAGATTATTCTACTAGCTGCACATACAAACTTTCTCAAATTCTAAATAAGTTTAAAATATATTTTACAATTTTCTTAATTTTCATTGTGTCATTTTTATCTAAGTCCCAAGTCTATTAATTCTCAGGTAGAATGTAATCAACTATAGTGCTATCAGCATTAATCATTAATTTATATCTTGTAGTTCCTTTAGCTTATACATCTTCTAAATAGTTATTAAGATATTATTATCTTTCAAGAAGTATATCTTGCACTTAAGATTCAGTAATTGGTGGATCTCCAACACATTAAAAGAATCTCATTTCTTTTTCTTTATCCAAACTTTAAATTTAATTAAAATGATCTAAATATGATTTTTCTAATAACTTTTGTTATTTAATACTTTACTTGTCTGCCTTTTAATTTATCTAATCCTAAATTATCACTAGTTTCTTTGTCTTACTATTGTGATTGAGATCTTTTTAATTTAGAACTTTTAGTCATCTTTAAAGTTTTCGATCGTTCCTATAATTGATTCTCCATCTACTAAGTTTCACCAGGCTTTGGACTCTCTTCAACAGGTATTTCTTATGTATTCTAAAGAGGTTTAGCTCTTGAAGTATTGGTAATGGATTTTAATTTTTTAGTCGAACTAGGTCTCATGGTTTTCTTATTCTCAGGAAATCTGCCAGATCCCATAATTTTTATACATAATGGTTCAAAATCAAATTATGCTATTTTAAGCTTAAAATTATTATTTTTATGAATTACTTCAACTTCCATTATTTCTGTTACATTTACTAAAGGAGAATATGTTATAGATATATCTATTCCTCCTTTACCAGGCACGATACCTTTTATTGGATCAATTTTAATATCTTAACAAGGCTTTGTTATGTTAAATTCAAACTCAAAGTTAAGAGGTACTTTACTCTGGATTGGATAGCTCTATTATATTGATAAAATTTTACATAAGTCTAAGACTCACCTATATCTAAAGTGCCAAAATCAATTAATCGAGGAAATAATTCTCTTAATCCATCTCTACTGAGGGCAGGATAAGCATGTATAGGAATTAGTAATGTATCATCTTGGGTATTGATTCTTATCACATCGTAAAAGTATTTATATTCTTGAGGTTTGAATTAAACGTAAAGCTCTTCTGCCATTCCACTAGGAATAGCTCCTTTTTTATCAAATTTCACATTAAATATTTCTGATTTTGGTGGAAAGACATAGATTCTTTAAGGTTGTTTATTTTTATTGATAACTCTCACTTTAATCTCATTTAGTTTGCCAATATCAAAACCACAAAATTTAACTACTGCAGGTTCAACAATAACATTTTAATTTGTTCCAACTTTATCGTATTCATCTTATTATCTTATTTAAATAAATACATTTCTTCTCCATAATATCCTTATTCTTTATTATTGGCATTTTCAGTAAATTAGTCGGGACTTCTATAGAGGTTACACTTTACATTAATTTTTATATATATAAATAATAAAATAAGTTTTACTAAAAACTTACAAAAATATGTAAAATCTCGAAATGTGATTGAAACTCTCTTATAATTTATATATATAAATGACATAAAGTCAATGATGTAATTTTTTATCTTGTAGTGAAGTACGCTTAATTTAGGAATATCTTTCTTAAATCTATTAATCTTTATAAGGATCCAAATCTAATTGTTTAAGCATTTCAGTTTTTAATGTGTCCACTTAATCATCGAAAATCAAGCAAATGCTATCTTTAGTTGCTAGACATTCTGTTTCTTAAGGAGGAATATACCTATTAATTTATTAAAAATTAGAGTTACGAATATTGAGAGTAAATCTTATTTTCAATATCTTTCAATTCTCCTCTAAACAAGTAACCTCCAAAAATAAAATCACATTTTTGATTTATATTTAATTTTTTTAGCTTACTTTTTGTTCTAAAAAAATCTAATAGTCTTTTTAATTCTAAATTGGCTAATGGACCTGCTTAATTTTCAAACATTTTTCTTAAATATTCTAGCATAAAATTTGGAATTACCTATAGAATTGATATAAATTTTAAATTCGAATTCTGGATTCTTTTGCATAAGTTCTTTAAGAATCTTTAAATTTAATGAGTAAAGCAGAGATTCAGCAGTTGCTTTTGCTGTACTCATACAAGTACCATCTCCAATTAAATTAGTATAAGTTATAAGTGACCCTAAACCCTTTTTAATTGAACCTCCTTCAAATTCATCAACCACATTTCCTTTACTAATAATGTATATATTTTGACAGGTCATTCCTTATTCATAAATTATCTCATCACATCCAAATTTTTTTTCATAAGAACTTTTAATGATATTATCTAGATCTGTTGAAACAAGTCCTGAAAATATAGGAAATTCCATAGCTAAAACATGAAAAGAGGGTAAAATAATTTCAAATTAATGGTTTTCTAAATCAACTAATCTTGTGTTAATTTCCTTCTTCAATAATTGATACTCCTTTTCATCAACAAGCCCATTTTATTAAGTTTCATCGAGATAATGTCTTTAATGAGTTAAAATAGAATGCGATGCTCTTTTTGTTTATATGGCTCTTACTATTTCTGGGAATGTATCATTCAAAATTCCTAAATATCCTTCAGCTTTATCTATTTCCCTTTAAATTTCTTCCATTACAAGCCTTACAGCATCTTTACCCATAGGAAAACTATCTGCTAAATGAAGAGCCTCATTTGCACAAGATAAAAATGTAGTAGTAACATCATAAACAAAACCTAAATGTTTTATCATATATTCTGTTGCAAATGAACCTATGAATGGCATTTCTTTGACTTTGAAAAAAAAATTCACACTACTAAAGTTCAAAAAGTTCTTGTTTAATTAATCCCATATATTTAAAATTGATTTTGTATGATCTAAACCTATATCACTTGATTCTACTAATAATCTCACTGTGTCTTCTTCACATAATCCATATTCAAACTTATCATAATATAATCCTTTAAGAATTCTATAGATTCTATATCTTACTTCTCCAAAAATTTCTTAATCAGTTAATCCTTCATATAAATTTGATGAATTGATTGCTACTTTATTGCTTCCAACCATATATTTTATCTCTGTTTCTAATTTTTCTATTTTTTCAATAAATTTAGGCTATCCAATAAGTTAATTTACTTAATTCCAATCAGCCATACTATAGAATTGATCTGATTCCAACTCTCTCATTTTATCTTAAGAATTCACAATCAACTCTTCTAAATACTTTTTATAAACTTTCTTTTTCACAACAGGATTCTCAATCATTTCCAAATATTAAACAAGAGCCTTACAAGTAGTACCATTTACTAGATTAGTAATGGCAGCCATCCCTGCAGCATAAAACACAGATAAATGTCTAAATCTTGCAGGCAATTACTCATCACAACCAACCATAAGAGAAAGCGTTAATCCTAAGGCTCCTCTTAAACCACCATAAACAAGCACAATAAATTCAGATTTAGAAATAGGATAACCAAAACATCTTAAAAATGGCCAAAATGTTAGAATCATAATAAACCTTGCTAGAATCATAAAAAAGTAAAAAACTATCATTCTAATGTAATCTGATTTATGAATAAATGTTTCTTCAATTACTTATGTACCAACAATAATTCCTACTAAAACAAATACTAATGTATCACAAGAATATTAGACAAAACCCCAAACAGTATGAACTGAATGTTCAACAGAAGATCTTATCCTTGTTTTACCAAAAGCACTCCAAAACAAACCTAATCCTACTACTGCCAATAAACCACTAGTTTTAAAAAAGCAAAATTCAGCCCAATAAAAAGTAAGATAAGTAAATACAAAGGTCAACCATGTAACTTCTATATCGTCTCCTAAAATTCTTTTTGTCCATATTGCAGCCAAAATACCTAAAATAAAGCCTAAACCTGGGCCAACAAGTGAGTTTCTTATGAAATTTATGGCTACTTGACTAGCAGTAACAGCTTCTCCTTTTCCACTTTAAGCTTTTGAAAACTTATTAAAGAATATAAAAAAGACCATTGCAACACCATCATTAAGTAAGGCTTCTCTTAAATACATTAATTTAATACCCTTCTATTAAATGATTAAAAGCTAAACTAGCACCTAATTCTTTAAGTAATGCCACAACAGCTACTGGATCTGTTGCAGACAGTACTGAACCAAGTGTAAATGCTTAATACCATGTCATATCATTATCATCATATTATAAGACTAATTTAAATACACTTCCCAATAGAATTGCACCCTATGTTGAAAATATATAGAATACCCAACCACATCCTGGACCTGCCAATAATAGAATATTCACCATCTGATACTTAAATGTATACCAATCACAATTAAAGGCTGATTCAAATAATAAAACTGGGACAAATACAAATACTATTAAATGAGGATGCATTTTTGACAATATGCTAGCACTTTCACCTATGTAACCTAAACTTTTCTATAACAACCCTATTAATATCCCTAATGATAATATCATTGGAGAATATGGAAATCTTTGCAATAAGATAAGAGTTTACTTTGTTTTTTTATTAATTTCTCTTAAAATCAATCCAGAAAGAATTCCCAGAGTTAAAAAATAAACTATGTTAGCAGATTTCTCCATTGCATGTTCATCTCTCCATAGAGAATCTTTAGGAACTTCTAATTCTTCTTCATGTCCTTCAAATTCATGTTCGTGTTCTGCCATTTCAAATTATTAATTAAAATTTATTATTCAAAATCTCTCTTATATTTTTATTTATCTCTATTTTTAAATTATTAACAATTGTATTCTAAATACAAATATTGATAATCTAAAAATATTGACATCAAATATTTTAATTTTAAGTTAACAATTTAATAGAAGTTAAAAATAAATGTTAATAACTATTATACAAAAATATTTATAAGTTTAATTAGCTTACTCAAATTAGTATTAAATATTTTGGTTCAAAGTAAATACTAAAGTGAAAAATGAAATTATATTCGGTTTTAAATATTCATATATCATTCTATTAAAGATTTTAATTTATCAATCTTTTGTTATTCTGTCAAATCTATCCATTCATGATAATTTACATCATAAACCTTGTATTTTTTAGTACCATTCAAATGCCTCTACTTATTAATAAATGAATACCTGCTCTACATTATATGATTTGGATTAATTGTTAAAATCTTTCCATCAAAATCTTCAATAAAATGGACTGGATCATTGCAGGTTAAAATTATTTTATCATTGACCAAGTAATCAACATCATAAATTAAAACACGGCATGCTCTTTCATTTTAATATTTTAAATTATTAAGCAAATCTTAAACATTTTATTCTAATTAAGTTAAAGTTCTATAAATAGCATCTTCTTTGACTTTTAATATATTCAAATTTTAACAATTTAAATAATATTCAAAAGATTAATAAAACTTTTTGCGATCAACAAGCTATTTACTAATAAAATAGTCCTTCACCATATCTTGAAAGTACGGAGCGAAAATATTTTAATCACTTGGTTTCAAGTCCAAAAATTATTTGTCAATTATTTCAGGATATAAATTATACATAAGTTAACAATATTAGAAACAGGATTTTGATGTATAATGAAAATTTTAAGTTGAATTTAATTTAGTCTAAAATCCTTACACCAAAGTTAACATGATTTATTCATCTAATAAACCTAATCTAAATAGATTTGATCTAATATGTAGATCATGAATATATTCCAAATAATCCACTTATTCTTTTTGTTTGAGAAATTTTTGAAGGACATAATTACTAAGTTTTTCATTATGGATATTTAGTTTGTAAAGACAATGCTAAAATTTAATCATATCCTTAACTGAAAGTGTTTCTTTTTCATTATCTACTTATTGAATAATTTCTTGAACCATTTACTCATCATACAATAAAACATTGCTTAGAGATAAAAGTATTTATGAGTTTATTTCATAGCTATTTTTAATCATCTTTTTCTTATATTGTTTAAGACATTCCAAAGTTATTTTCTTGGCTTTTTCTCCTTAATTTCTACGTTCAGGATGCGTTCCAAAAAAAATGATATAATGTATTAAATCATCAGTTGAGATTTTTTGTAATTAATCAGCTTAGAATAATTGATTTTTTTAAAGTAGTTACCTATAAAGTTCGTTTGACTATTTGATGTTAAATTTCTTGCTTAAGTAATTTTTACTAAAAGCTAATGCACGGCTCATAATTTTAAATATTATTTAATAAAAAATATTCAATAATTTTTTTAATTTCTTAAGCTAGAAGATTTTTCTGTAAAAATTCGTTAGGCAATTTTTATAAAATATTTTAATTATCAATAAATAATCCTTAAACTCTAGCATAAAATTCTAAATTTTTTTTTTTTCATTTACATCTAACAATTTATTAACCTCAAGGTCTACCATAAAATAAGTTGGGTGCTCTATTAAGTATATCCTTTTTATGGTCTATGAAAATAAAAAAAAGTGGTTTCACAAATTCAAAGCTGTTTGATACATTAATAAGCAAAATTAGTATTAACAAAAAGCTTAACTTAGTTGCATCAAACTTTAAAAATAAAATTTAAAAAAATAATTCTTCACCAACTCTTCCTCTACAAATAGATCAATCTAATCGAAAATACACTTCCTTGTGTAAGATTTTAATTAAATTCAAAAATCATAAAAGTCTAATTTTAATATCTATAACTTACTTAATTAATTGATATTTTAGTAAACTTTATGAAGAATAGGAAAACCTTCTGTTTATAAATTATTATAAGTTTTATTCTATCGAGATGAAGGATTACTATTTATCCTTCTTTTTAGTCAATCTGTATTTTCTTTAAAGTTAAATTGTTAATCAATCTCTTTCAAATTCAAAATCTATTAGTTTTTGACTGTTTCTGATTATATTTTATAGCGTTTAAGATGGTCAAATTTATAATTTTTTATTCAGCCTCTAGATTAATTTTATGGGATTTGCTATTTATTTTTTGAAAATTTTTAAAAATTAAGAGAATGATTTTATGACTAATTCTAATTAATTTCTTCAATTAAAATATCTCAATCGTTTTCTTTCAATTTATATAGTTTTGTTTTAATTGATACATTTTCAAGAAGATTTTGATTTTTCATTTATTTTCTTTCTCATATACTATCAATTTCAACAAAAAAAATGTTAGAAAGGACTTTTTATCTTAAATTTTAAAATAGTTCTCTCACTCAAGATGCTACAACAATCTAAAAATTTTCATAAATTTCTACTCCAGATTTTATTAAAAGTACATTTAACTTCATCGACTGAAGTTCTAATTAATAAAAAGATTTAGGATGCCCTACTAAAATGAATTCCTTTGCCCTGATTTAGCAAATTTACCTGGATTTTTTAAGAATTAAGATAATTAATCTAATTCTCCAATTTCTTTAGAGAATTCATCTATTATTAAAAATATAAAAATTTTGTTTTTGTTTTACTTTTTGATAATTTTTAAGAATATTAAAAAGATTTAAACTTAAGAGGATTGATTTTTATCAAGACTATCTTATAATTAGATAGATAGATTCAAGATAGAATTATTGTAAATGTAGATTAATTCTGTTAATCTTTAAATAAGCTGTGAATTTAAAGAAGTTTCTGATAAGAGTGATTTGAGTCGATAGGTTTTGAGATTATATAAAAAATGATGTGCTTGAGATTTGATCAGATAGCTTGATAAGTTGATCATGAATAATTTATTGTTGATTGAGAATGCAACAAAATGGCTTTGTTATAATGAGGTGTAGAATGCATGGTTAGAATCTCAAGATCTTAGATGAGGGCACATTTTATAATTATAAATATTTATTGAATCTTTTGGAGTTTAGAGGATTAAAATGATATATATAGATAAGTGAATGATAAATTATTATTTACATATATGTAATAAATCCGTTTTAAAGGTATAACTATTATATTTATTAAAAATGAGAATGTATGCCCTATTTATGCTGTTGATGTATGCTACAGCATTGAATTTCGAGGCATCTTTGATGTCCCATACCTTAGCAGAAGTAGATGCTTTAGACACTTCATAATTGAACTGTTAAACTCCTCGATCTCATTTTGAAGATTTGGAAGAAACTTTAACTTAATGGTAGTAAGTTTTGGAGAACAAGGAGCGTATCCCATCTCATATTGAGACTTTGACTCAAATGAAGCATCTAATTAAACACAAAAAGTATGAGCAACTAGTCGAGAAGATCAAAGATTTAGATCTCATATCACCTCCAGTACTTTCTGAGTTATAGAGTAAATTATAAGGATTGCAATCTCATGGTAGATAAATAAATCAATTATTTTAGACAGACATGAAAGAGAAGAATGTACAGAAACTTTAACTAAATTGTGTGCTTATCTAATAAAATAAATGAATAATGTTCATTAATAATGTTAGCAATCTCCAGTAACAGTGATAAAGGTGAAAGGAAAGATAGAAGATTTAAAAATTATTTAATCTGGATGTTAATAAGCATGCCAACCAACATGTCCAGATGAGCCTGTGCCTGAAATTCCATCAGAATTACCTAGTGAACCAAGCGAAGAATTTACAGAAGAGCCAGTAGAAGAGACTGATGTTCCGACAACTCCAGAAGAAGATTAACCATAATCAGAAGAAGATTAACCATAATCAGAAGAGGATTAACCAACAACACCAGAAGAAGACTAACCTACACCAGAAGTACATTCTGAAGAAGAAGGTCCAACAGATGAACCACCAGTTAATCCAAATGCAGAAGAGTCACCAGAAGAACCAACAATAACAGAAGATGGAACAGAAGAATGGACTATACCAGGAGAAGAATCAGAACCAATAGTTCCATCTACTGAAGAAGATGAAGAATAACCTTCTCCACCTGTATAACCAGATGATGAAGAAACTCCAGAATAAGATGATGAAGAATCTCCTTTTGAAGAAACTCCTGATTAACCATAACCACCAACACCAGAAGAAGGAGAAGAATTCTATTCTGAAGAACAACCTGTTGAACCACCTTAACCACCTGTTGATATCCCTGAAGAAGGAGAAGAATTCACATTTGAAGAAACCCCTGTTGAACCACCTTAACCTACACCATTTGATGTTCCTGAAGAAGGAGAAGAATTCTTTTATGAAGAAGAATCTGATGAACCATCACATCCTACAATACCTGTATTACCAGAAGAAGAAGGAGAAGAAGCTACTTTTGAAGATTAACCACCTGTTCCTGTTGATGAGGATGATGAAGAATCTCCATTAGTATGTCATTCTTCTGAATCTACAGAATATGTTGAATTAGCAGCTACTTAAATTGAACCAGGATTTACTAGTACTCTTACCATAACAGGTTAATATGGTTTTGGTCTATACTTCTAAAAATTATAAAAATATCCTGCTTTTACAGATGCTGAAGAATTCCATTTAGCCAGTTTATAAGATAATGGTAATACTGTATTAGGAGTGTTTGTTACTAAAACTGGAGTTAAATGTGTTACTGCTGATGGATCAACATAATAATCTACATCTGTTTAAAATGATGATTTTGAAGGAGATTGGAGCTTTGTGTTTATAAGTCATGGTAAAGGTGTTACTGGTTGTGGAGTCAAGTTCTTTGAAGAATAACCGGCTTTGAGAGAAACTCCTGCTTCTCATGAAAGTTTCACAACTTTAGAATTCATTATTGGTGGTGAATAAGATTCTCATCCATCATTCTAAGGTAAAGTTTATGGACATTTTGCTGTCTCTGCACCAAATCTTCATTTCAAAGATGAAAAAACATATAAATAAATTGTTGATTCATGTAATAATCCTCCAGAAGAACTTTGTGAATTAGATACACAAGTTTTAGGTGATTTTGAATTTTCTGGATTTGATGATAATTCTGAAGAAAAATATGATTTCTCTTCATGGGATGCTGGTTATTCTGTTTCAGGTTGGTTTAAATGGGAATCTTTAGAAGATTAAGATGTTTGGCATACTGTTTTCAGATTATCAGAGAATACTGATGCTGATTTAGATGATATTTAATTAGGAGATAGAGATTTAGCTCTTTATCTTGGTAATGAATTAGTTGGCAATCGATATTAAGTTACAACATATACCTATTCAGGATCTGGTAATCCTAATTTATGGGATTCTGTTGAATATGGATCATCATTAGGTTAATGGCATTATATTTACTTTGGTTACAGTAGAAGAACCAAATATGCTAATTACATGATTTATTTATCAGATTCAGAGATGCCTTCCAATTAAATTCATGATGTTCGTCATTATCTTGTTCCACAAAGAAGACTCTACATTGGTAATGATGGTTTATATCCTGCTTTCAATGGTTAATTCTATAATTGGAGAGTTAATCTTTGTATTGGAGATGTTGATATTGATGTTGTAAATCCACCAAATGATATTATTTTTGGTTATAATCCTTAACCTCCAACTGATACTCCTAATGTTCCAATCGAAGTCCCTGAAGAAGAACCAGTTTTGTCAGAAGAAGAGGAAGAATTTATTCCTATTCAACCAGAAGAGAGTACTCCTGAAGATTTCCCTGAAGAAGAATCAGTTTTTTCAGAAGAAGAAGAATTTACTCCAGTTGAACCAGAAGAGACTCCTGAAGAATCTGTTTAACCAGAAGAAGAAGAATTTGTTCCTCCTCCTCCTGAACCAGAACCTCCTGTCATTCCTGATGAAATAAAACCAGAACCATTACCTGAACCAGAACCTTAACCTGAACCTGTTCCAGCACCTAAACCAGCTCCTCCTCCTTCTGAACCTTAAGTTCCCGTTGTCAAAGAGTATTTTATCATTTATTAATATTTTATAGATGTGAGGCTACTATTGATGTAACTAAAGAAAATGCTGCTGATATTTTATGCGCTATTTCAGAGTATTTAGCTTAATTAGCATCTGGTCATGTCCCAGAATTAGGTATCAATCCATCAAGAGTATGTTTCTGTTTACAATATGATGATAGTAATTTTAGTATTTATAATCTAATAGGTGAATCCAATGAATCTTTCATGTAAGTAGAGGCTATTCTTAAAGAAAATGATGCATTTACTATTAATAAATTAGTTGCCTAAAGAAGAATTTGATTTAAAATAATAAAACATCATGAATTTATTAATATAATAATTCTATCATGTAAATGGACAGATTTAAATTAGATTTTGATGATCATTATGCAAACAATATACTTAATTTGAGCATCATTTAAAACAAATTTTATTTATAAAAATTGATTGCATATGTAGATTATATTATGGCAGATTAATTCGAGATGAAGTTGTATTTAAAGTACCATGATGTGGGTGAATTACTCCATCATTTATGTTTATATGAATTTAGCTAAAAACAATGATGAAGAATAATATTTTGAATTAGGAGGAAACAAAAACTTCTTTAATGCAATTGATTAATCATAATAGATATATGTGGAATTCTCAGCTTCAAAAGGGATATTGAATTTAATGCCATATGAACTAATTTTTCCTCCATATGTTGATGCTGATCATAAAATCGCAAAACCAATAACTCTAGAAAATATAATTAAAAGAGGTATATTGACAGAAGAGCCATTCACTTTAATTTTAGAGTAAAATTGAAGTTGAAAAGGGATATACAACAATAGAATTTTATATTCTTTTGATATATTTTTAAGATATCAATATGGTATTGTAAACAATGTGTAACATAATTGGAATGTTGATTGTGAATATTTCTACTAATATACTAAGTTCAATACTATAAATTTTATTTATTTGATTTGTTTAGAGTAAAAGGATTTAGATTTATATGGTAGCATTTGAATTTTTATATGTGAATAATCTAAGTCTTTTTTGATATTCTAAATTATTTTGAATATCATTATCAAATGTAAATATGTTTAACTTTTTATTTATATATCATTAATCATCCTAATCAATTGGTAAATTGGTTAAATCTAGATCTTTTCCTGTAATTCTTTTGTAGGCATTTAAGACTTGTTAAGTTTCACCTTCAAAATGGGATTATGGATCAAATGAGCTTGAAATGAAAATGTTATCTTTAGATCCATCATCTACAGGTACGTAAACATCAGAAACCTATAATTTTAGATAAGTTAAATACAGTAATAAATTTCTCTAAGATTGTTCCAACAACTTCAAATCCAGGTTCTAATTCTTTTTCTGGATTGTTGGTTTCAACATTAGTACTTAAGATGGCAATAAAGAATCCTTTTTTGCAAACATTATGAACATCACTAACCATCATAACATAAATATCTAGATATAAATAATATTGATACCATTCTTTCTGCCTGTTTATCTTTATGGAATGATAACTTAAACTGAAGGTAAGTTCTTTGTATTAGGAATAGGGTGATTAAGTATACAAATGCATCTAACTATCTTTCCTATGGATTTAACTTTATTTGATAATTTAGCTTTTAATGCATATGATGGATCAGCAATAATCATTTTACAATTGATTTATTCTATTCCCATTAATTCCTTAACTTTCTCTGATTTTAATCCACATACCTAAATAAAATATTATTATTACTTTTCCATCCCCATCAAAAAGTACTTCATCCAAATCTGCATTCAACATAAATGTACCACCATTAACAGCAGCCATTCTAGAGAATCCTTCTGGAATACCACCTAATCCATAAATTGGATATATGAATGGACTATCTCCATATCTGCCAATACTATCCATATACAATTTGATCTTTTCGATTGTTTAAATTGCTGGCTTATCTAAGAATTAATCATTCGAATATAATGCAACAGCATGACCAATAAAATCTATTGTATTTGGCTCTAATTCAAATTTCTTTAACAATTAAGCACATGTCATTTAATTTAGATTCAATCCTATTGTAATATTGATTACATCTTACCTTCATGAGTCTTTGGATTGCTGACTTCATAATTAGACACATAAGATAGAAATTTCTAGCATCTTCTCTTTTCAAACATACCCATTAAATCAGATTTAAGAGCTTCAGAAGCTGTTGCTGGAACCTAATCTTATAATCAATATATTTACTTTCTCGATTTTACCACCTCCCTTACTAAATAAACCTGCTTCTTTCATTTGGAATACATAGGTCCCATCTATAGCTTTCCATTCCAAATAACGAGCCACTTTAGTCTTCAACAATATCTTTACAAGCTATCCATTAGCCATTACAAACTTTGGGATCAAATCAATATTCCAATCTCTATTCTAACCTTATCATATTAACTATTTATATATACCTAATTATTATGGAAATTGTTATCCAGCTTTAAACAATTTCCAAAGGTTAGTTAAATTTAAAGATGCACCCTCTCCTCCATAATAAGGGTTACGATCCATATGAAACACTCTCTTCCCTTCCATACTTAGCAATCCACTTAGAATGCATTCAATTAATCCAGTTCCGCATACTACGACATCATAATTAGGATTTATTGGCTCTTAAGTATCCATACTTAAATATAAAATATTTATTAAAAATTACTCACGCCCCCTGAACCTTAATTTATATCAAATGACGTAGAAATATTTAAGAGATTCACAAAAATGACAACCTTAACAACACAAATTAATTAAATACTATTTTTACTCAACATATTACATCCATTTTAAAAATATAGAATAGGATTTGAATTACTCAGAATAATAAAATTTTAAATTTATTCATAAAAAAAAATTTATAAATTCCATTCCTTAGAATAGTATTAGATTTTTTCTATTCTTAAATACAATGAAAAGATTCTAACTCCTTCAATTTATCTTAGCTAATTTGTATTTTTATAGAATCTTTTATCAGCAACGAAATTGCAATTAGATAAGAGTTGGAATCTAATATATAATGGTTTAAATTATTCTATAACAATACAATAAGTATTTATACTTATTGTAAATTTATATTTTTAACACATATATAATCTTTTTACATAATTTGAAGAAATAGAAAAATTTTTAATCCATAAATATAAAAAAGAAACTAACATTTTTTTTCATGATTTTAAAAATTATTCATTCAATTTCATTTTACATAATATCTAATCATCAAGTTATATGTATATGATTTTTATGAATGTGCCATAGAATATTATTAATAATATTTTAGGTTAATAATAATTGAGATTAGCTTTTAATATAAACCACTCAATTGAATTTTAAGCAAAGAAATATATTTTAATAATTGTTTTATTTTTTTTAATATACTTCATTCTCTTCGTGTGATAAATAGTCTTGTGTCGGTTAAAGGTTCTTCTTATTCTTCTTAACTTGAATTAAATTCGGTATCATTTTAAATTTGATTTGCAAATTATGGATCGTAGGAAATATATTGGTATAGAAAATTAGAATAGAAATCTTTTTTTATCATTTCATCAATATTTATTGAAACAGTATCTTTTTTAGCCGCTGCCCCGGCTAATTTTATATATTAGGAAATTTTATAAATGATTCTGCGATTTTTTGATGTAAACTAAATTGGTGGGTTTTTTTTCTTAGTTTTAGATTCTAATCTTTTAATATTAATAACTTTTAAAATTTCTTACAATTGATGATCATTTGCGGAATCATCGATTTTCTGTTTAATGTATTTAAAAATTTTTTCTTGTTCCTAGGGTGATTCATAATTATGCTCAGTTAGGTATTTCTTAACTAAATAACACTGTAGTTCAGAATAAAGAGGCTTTTTTTTTTAATTTTTGTAATGAGATCTAATGGTCTCTTTGTTAACTTAGAAAAAATTCGCTACCTCATCCAAACTCCATTCAAGATTGATCAAACAGTTCATAATCTCGACCTTTAGCCAAACAGGAATTTTTTTATATTTCCCTCTTTAGATGTTCTTAGTCTTTTTGGCTAATGAACTTTATTTCTGAATTTATTAATAAGAATTTTTCATTTTTTTATTTAATTAAATTTCAGAGATACTTTTCTCTATATATAGACTAGATTAACAGTATTTATTAGATTAGATATGAAAAAATAAGAATATTACGCCATATTTTATTTATTGGAGCATCTAAAGATCAGAAATTGTAAAAAAGAAGTCAAATTTGACTACTAGTTATATGGAAATTGAAACCATAGTCTAAAAATAAATGTTTATGAAAATTGATTAAAAAATGAGAGGAAATATTAATTAAGTTCTTAATTTTAAAAGAACGTTAATTATATTTCCTTACAATATTTTTAGATTGGATCATAGATTGATAAAACCTTCAATGATGAAACTAAATAATTGGTAACAGAAAGTAAAATAAGAAAAAGGGAAAGGAAAAATATACATTGGAGAAGTATATAAAATTCTAAAATTGAAAATATGATTGGAATGGGAGAAAAGAGATTATTTAAAAATTTTGTGAAGCTTAAAAAAATCAGAAAGCCAGGTAAATTCAATATCTTGAATGTATTGCACAATACATTAAAATGACTATTGTATATAGCAAAGCATAAATTAGAAAATTAGTAATATATAAATAATCATTCAGTTATTAAAGAGTTAATAGAATTGGAAAACTTAATGGTGCTTAGAGAGAAGAGAGTTTAGTTATGATTGTAATATAAAGATAATTCATTGAAATTTGTATCCTTCAAATAAGCATTAAACACTTTTCCTTCTGATAAGAGAAGCTGCATCTTCTTATGGTTCACTATCAGCAGAGATCTAACTTTGAAAATCGAAATTTCCATCTATACTCTAAAAAATAACTTAAAAATGTATACTCCAGGAATATACTATGACTTAATTTCTTTGTTGATTAATTTACCCCAAGGATATCCTTTAAGCCATTAATGTTCAAAAATCTCTTCAATTCCATTATGGCCTAATCTTTATTAGGGTTTTCTTATAAGTAGCTAAACATAAATAGATGATAAATATTACTCTATTAACAAAATCTTATGCTTTGTGAGAGAATCTTTCATCTTTTATTTAAACTTATTTAGCTAAGATCTGATCTCTAATTTCTTATCTATTCTTCCCATTATATGGTCTTTTGCCAAGTAATAATTCATATGCAATAACTCCTAATGCATAATAATCAACAGGGAATGAATGATCTAATCTGCACATAACTTCTGGTGCCATATAACCAGGAGTTCCAGAAGTATCACTAGCAGCAGAATCTTTATTTAATCGAGCAACTCCTAAATCTGTTAATCTTAAAAATCCATCTTTATCGAAGACGAGATTTTCAGGCTTTACATCTCTATGGATAATACCATTTTAATGTAAATATTGAAGTGCTAATAAAATACAGCAGACGAAGAACTCTAAAAAGTAATAATTAAAAGATACTTGTTTATTCTTCAGAAAATTTAGTATTTCTACCTATATGATATCTTAGATCTCCTCCTCTTAATAAATCTAATACAAGATATAAGTTTTCTCTATCTTAATATGCATAATGCATATTTACAAGAAAAGGATGTTTGAGATGTTCGAGTAAATATTTTTCATTCATCACAGAATTAACCGACCTTTTTGAGATGATTCTATTAATCATTAAATAAAAGAACATACTTTGATTTTAGCATTTCTTTAAGCGCATATTCCTATCGATTAGCTTTCATTTCAACTCTCCACACTTTTCCAAATCCACCTTTTCCAATTACATATAGAAATTTGAAAGAATGCCTTCCTATTACTAAAAATTATATAATTACTATACCATTTTCTTTAGGAGGTGAGGATTCAAGTGACGTCTTTCTTGTCCGAGAATTATTAATCATTGTTGTTGAAGTAGTATTATTGATTTATTTCCCACTATAATAACTGTGATGTATGACATGATTTGATTGTTATCTGGATATTTATTTTGAGACTACTGCTTATTACACTAATATTGCTTTCTAATCAACTGTTCTTTTAGATACAGGTGAGCTTTCATCAACAACTACAGAATTTTTTATACTCAGCATAGAGGATGATCTTTTTCGAGCACAAATTAAGCAACTTTTTTAATTGCATTGACAAAGAGATTCCACCTTCTTACTAATCTTGAACTTTATTTTTGACAATGGATTATGCTGAGAATGCTGGGGTGGCATTATGTCTTTTAATGAGACATGCATATTAATTAATTATTAATGAAAACTCAAATTTATAAAATTCCTCCTATAGAATAATTTATATGATTAAAAATGAATCATCTCCATCTTACTCTAAAAGCATTTTAACTATTAATCTTCTTCTAAACTTCCTTCTTTCATTCATTTATATTTTTTAATTCAAGGTTAGTTCTTCAATTCTAATATTTAAAGAACAATATTAGTATCTATATTTTTATTACAAGTTTTACGGATTAAAGTTAATTGTATCTAATTTTATTTATTAGATATTGATTATGAATAACTTTTTATGTTGTAAGTTTATAAATTAATAAAATATAAATTATGTAAAGAGAATAGGCAGTTTAAATAGCAGGATAGTTATATGATTATTATACAAAAAAAGGAAGTTTGGATAGTAAGTATGTTTAATATTTTGGATAGTTTAATCGATGATGGTAAATAATTATAAGATGATGGGAAAATAATATCAGATATAATAAGAAGATGTAGAAGAATATAAGCAAGTGATTGGAACTGGATAAAAGAAAGATTTCGAATAATTATGTATAAGATATTTTTGCAGTGCAATTCCAATAGTGAGTATTTAAAAGAAACCAAAATACTCAAAAATAGTTAATGAGAGATTAGAATTAGCAAGAAAAATATTCCGTAAATTTGATTCAGATAACTCTGGTTCCATTACATCAGATGAAGTACGAGGATTGTTAATTGAGACATATAAATAGGTTGGAATAAACAATTATTAACCAACAGAATAAGATTTGAAAGAATGGATGAATATGACAGATACAAATGGAGATGGATTAATAAGTATAGAAGAATTTGAGGATTTGGTAATTCGAAGTTTACAAAGTTCTGGATTAGAAATATATTAGAAATGAATTGTATTTATTCATATTAAGTTATTATTTTCTTCATTTTTTTGATGTAATTGTTGATTAGCATTTTTTTATAATTTGATATGTTTATCTTAAGATGGTAATGCATTAACAGATAAACAAACTCCAATACCTGCTAACACTAAATAAATAATATCAACATCTCTCATTCTATCTTTTTATCCTTTAAGAAAAGTGTAAACAGTTCCTGAAAGCATGGGGACAGTTGCCATACATATATTTTCAAAGATTCCTAATATTCCCAAAGCAGTTGCTCTTAATAATATAATAAATATACCTAACATATTTTCAGGTACTGTAGATTATAATGCAGGCATAAGAATACTAGAATAACAAGCATAAGATAATCCCAAAGTTATCAAACTTCACATATTTAGAAAATATAAATTACGCGAAAACCGACATGTAATTGGGATGTGTAGAATGAGGCATATAATAGAGTTGTAAATGTGATAAAAAAAACATGAAAGTTGAAATGACTATTAATAAATGACGTTTATGAGAAAAAGAGTCACTTATTATACCTATGATTGGAGATGATAAAGCTAGAATGTTTAACTTAATTTAATTACCTGCAACAATATATCCTACAGTAACAATTCTACCAGCATGCATTATACTAAATCCGAATCTTTCATGATAAAATTTATTCGCATTATCTAAAAATGGAACATAAGCAGCCAACATCAATGTAGTAATTAAACTCATTTTGATAAATGGTTTGCTAAACTTAACTAATTTAGATTTTTTAAATTACATTAAGATAATGAAACTTCTTCATCTGGTTCTTCTCCTATATTTTAATCATATTTAGTATCCAAATATATCATTAATAATCCTGATAAAAATGACTATAATCATATCATCATAAACTCTACCAAAATGCATAATGATAATCCAAATAGTAATGGCAATTTTAACGAATGAGTTTTCTCAAATAAATAAGGTGATAAAAATGAATTTAAAGCTGCTGCCAATTCTGGAACTGTTAAAATCAATCCCATTGCTGTCCCTAAACAATGTGGCATTCTTCTTGCTATTACTTTAAATACTGCAATATGTAATAAATCACTTGCTATTCCAAATATTGCTCTCCCGACTAACATCATATAGTATTTTTAATAACATCCACCAAATGCTATAAATAATTATGATAATCCCAACATTAATGAAAATGTAAATACCTATTTATTATATATTCTTTACTCCCCATCTTCCTCCCATTCTATCTATCATAATACCTCCTCCTATTGATAATCCTATATTTGGAACTGCAAATATGCTGTATAACAAATTAAATTATGTCTATGTTAATTTAAACTCTTTTTCAATTGGAATCTCAAGAGCTTAAGGGATGTCAAATGCATAATTATTTCCAACCATTAACATTATTGCCAAACCTATTATTAGACGATCAATCATCCGTTTTTGTATATATAATATTAAAATTCTTAATAGTATTATCAATTATTTAACATTTTTTAATTTACTTCTTTAAATTTATATATTTAATCATATTTAAAACTTTGGCTAAACATTCTTGTTCCCTATTTAAGTACTAAAATTATATTATTATTCTTAATTACTCTAATCCATCATCATCCTAATTAAATTCAGTATTTGTCTTTAGCATTCTTTAATTATCACACATTTAAGGTAAATTTGTATTTGTTATCGTCAACTATTACAAAGTATCAAAGTCTTATTAGAAATATCGAATAGATATTCTGCCTTTATTCTATTTCTTTGGTGAATGGAACCTATTTTTTCCCATTAAAATTATCTATCTTACTAAATTCTAAAACTGATTTCTTATTAAATTACTCCTCTTTAATCTTTTATAAATCAAACCTTAACAAAATTTATATTATTTTATTTAAGGACATAACTATGTCATCTTTGAACTTAACTTATCTAATAATTTTTACACCTAAAATGAATTTAACTTCAAAACTATTTTTAACAATTTCAACAAAAAGTAAGCATTTATTAT